TAATTCATGAAACTGTTGATTTGAGATCAATATTGACCATTATTGTTTTAACAATGTTTCATAGTAGACTGTATTATAACAGGCAAACTAGATAATATTAATGAGATATAAATTTCATATTGAAATAATTGATTTAGAATCCCTTTCTATTATTATTGTGAATGCTACATAGTATTTTGCGATTTTGAATATAGGCTTATTCCTTACTGAAATCCCAATTATGTATGGTAAAGACATTAAATTGCTTGGAAATGAAATTTGGGGGATTCCCCCAATGATTTGAGAGTTGCCCCAAAGATGTATCAAAATAAAGTTATGATAACCTTTGATTTATTCTGGAATCAGACATATTTCCAAGTTCTCAGTCTATTTTTCATATTTGTTTTCAGTATTCCCATTTCTACAAATATGTGGTGGTCACTAAAAAGTTGGTTAAAGAATATGTTATATATACGTTTATTTCTGGTTTTCTATTTTCAAAATATCAACTTTGGTGCAACATTTACTAGATTCAATGTTGGCGAGATTGCTATACGCCCTCTTGATTCCTACCTTCGTTACTACACTTCAAAACAAGACGGCTGTAACATTCAACTCAAAGTTACATTCATAAGGTTTCAATAACCCTAGTAAATATGAACAATATTGTTACAAATCTAAGGTAATAGATTAGTAATATACCTGTCTCTTGCGATTATCTTTCATGGTTGAATGATTAGTATCACGCTCCTGATGTAAAATCAATCATTAACCGTCAATTTAACTAATCATCAATTGTGCTTTATCCTAGTTGCGAATATTGCATATGTTCAATTGTTCATATAGTTTACTTCAATTTGTACATACTGGACCTCAGTTTACTCAGTCGATCGATTTCGGATCAACGTCAATCTTCCTTGATTATCTTATAAGCAGTGATTCCTTTAATGTGTCAAGTTTTCGTAATCCATTGATCAGTAAAAATCTATATTTTGTCTACAATATGTTGAGCTATGCTGTGTTGATATCTCTTGTCACCTTTCAGAAAGGGCGAAAGGTTACTCAGCTAATATAACATTGTTACCTAGTTGCTCTTTAAAGACTCTCGCTATGCTGGCATAAATTATCTCAATGTGTAGACAAGATCAGTCACAATGACTTTAAGTTTGCTTCTCACTTCACTTAGGTCAGTCAGCACACTAATCAAGTACAGAAAAGATCAATACCTAAGTATTAATTTTCTATTCGTCTATGTTTTCACTATCTGTACCATATTTGCTGCCTGTATTTTCAAAATTGTGAAATTAGTCTATATACATATATCTGTTCCTTAATAATATCCATTATACTGATTAATGACAATTAATTGCTGGAGTCAGCTATTGAAAATATCCAATATGTCGTGTGGATTGATAATATTAGTTCACATATGAAACAAAGTCCATAAGAATGTCTAATTACTGATCCTGTAATATTCTTCCAAAGCAATCACTGAGTAAATTAAAGTGGGGGTGGGAATAACGTCACACACATAACATTATCATTATGTGGAAAATCTGATTGGTTGAAAATGTCCACCATTTTTGAAAATGATCAACATTTGATAGGGCCTCTGTTGACCACATTTCGTCAAGGCACCGGAGGTTATAAAGACACAATACGGCACATTCCATGGCAACATGAAATAGTTCCTGAACTTGATACAAACAGGGCTACGCTTTGTCAGGCTTACGATGACCAGCTGTTAATTTTACTAAGGGATAACTCCACAGATGTCGCTAATGAAAAGGTAGAAGACAAAAAATCTAAATTTAAAATCGGGATGATGGTTGATTGAAATCAATATTTATCAGTGCAATCACCAGTGAAAATGTACAGATTTTATATTTTATTTTGTTTATCTCGTGTGTATATAATTTAACAAAAAGTATGGCGAAATGATTCGGTTCACTTCAAATATTTGACTTTTTGTGACGGTGGTCTTGAGTTTGAAATCTATTGAAAATTGTTTAAAATTCGGATAGATGGCGGAAAAAGCAGTCATATCTTTTTTTCTCAATGGGTGTTCTATGCAATTTTTGTTTTGATTTGAAAGGGGACATATGGAGCTATCCCGTGGTATATGGAGTTATGTACCGAAAATCCTCGTTTTTTCATAATCAATCCAAAGATTTCAATATTTTCACATTGGATTACATTACAGCATTTATCTGTGGAATTGTCCCTATTAGCAACATAAGAAATTACTAAAACTGCTATTATTTGGCTCAAAACCTCTCAGAATAAGAGATATGTGACGTGAAATGTCTATTGGACGATGGCCCATAAGGATCTGATCGGGAGAAAGTAAAAAATAATGCTGAATCAGCATTTTTCTTTTTTTGACTTCAAAATTACGGGTTTTGACGATTATTAGGCACTGTTTGGCATTAACCATCGGAAAGTTGCCTGAAATGTCATTGTTTATGGGCCTGCGAACTGTCATATAAAATATTGAATATTTTTTGCCATATTTTGCTTGGTAAAGGATGTATTGTAACATTTTTAGATGTCAGAATTTCTCAGCCTAATTTTTCTGAGAGATGTCAACATATTTGAACGAAATAAATGGCTGAATTTGATTTTTTAAGGCTACAATTGGGAATAATTTCACGAATGGTATCTAATTAGCCAAAATTAATCTATAATTTTGATTTAAGAAGAAGTTAAACAATAGAAAACCAGTGAAAATTGACTAATTTAGTCAGCTTTTGGCTAATTTTGCCCAAAAATTGGCCAAATTAATGTGTCATGGTCCAGTGATTTTTGCCAATAAAACACTTTGATCATTATAAATAAGTTTACTCGACTCTTTGGAAGCTCAATTTAATAGATCAGAGTTAATGTAACCATTTAAATGTAGAAATGCTGAATTCTCAAGAAAAAATTTTGGCCTAAATTCGAACCACCCCAAGGTTAGTTAAGTACCCATAAAATGCCCAATTGTCTATATATCATTCTTAAACTGCAAAAACAATCTTGAAACTCTTCATTCTTTCATAAAAATATCATTTTTCACCAAAAATCATCGAACCATGGCACTATTAGGGATAACTCCACAGATGTCGCTAATGAAAAGGTAGAAGACAAAAAATCTAAATTTAAAATCGGGATGATGGTTGATTGAAATCAATATTTATCAGTGCAATCACCAGTGAAAATGTACAGATTTTATATTTTATTTTGTTTATCTCGTGTGTATATAATTTAACAAAAAGTATGGCGAAATGATTCGGTTCACTTCAAATATTTGACTTTTTGTGACGGTGGTCTTGAGTTTGAAATCTATTGAAAATTGTTTAAAATTCGGATAGATGGCGGAAAAAGCAGTCATATCTTTTTTTCTCAATGGGTGTTCTATGCAATTTTTGTTTTGATTTGAAAGGGGACATATGGAGCTATCCCGTGGTATATGGAGTTATGTACCGAAAATCCTCGTTTTTTCATAATCAATCCAAAGATTTCAATATTTTCACATTGGATTACATTACAGCATTTATCTGTGGAATTGTCCCTAAATAAATCTTGACATTTTTCATGTTTCAATCTCTGCAAATAATTGAGCTAAAGACTTACCATAAAACACAGGAAAACTGTCACCACAGCTACTCTGTTCTATACTTGCAAACAGGAAATTCAAGTATAGTATACATCCACCTCTGTTTTAGTTTATTCACCGACGCTTTTAATGCTAAACACCAGCTAAAAATTGCCAGATTTTCTAGAAAATATGACGGCCATGTTGAATATTAAAGAGTTCATCCGGTGCATCATGGGAAATTTGCAAACGTAAACAAGTAATTTTCCAAGAAAACTGCTACTATCCAAACAATTTGGCTACCAAATGAAAGAACAAATAGGCATGGTAGTAAATAAAGGCATTATAAATGCCTTATATATTTCCAAACGGTATAAAAAGTGTGTTAAACATTAGTCACATGACAGTCATGTGACATTGTTTTGACACGTTTTCATTTATGTAAACACGATGCAAAACACGGAAAATGTGGTGGGACTTTATAGACTATTCGAGCAATATTAAGTTGCTGATATCCAGTTGGTTTTGACAAAAAAACATTTCAGAGGGCAATACCCATTCACCTCGAGTCTAGTACTATTAGTGGGATCTATGTGAGGGACGGACCATGGGCGTGATTGGGAGTGTCTCAAAACTCTCAAGGGTTACATACAAATTGATCCACTTAAAGTGATGGATAGTCAAGTTTAGGGAACTTTCCACTATGTCTGCCATGTAATCCAAGTTGTTGTCGGATCATCTTTTTTAATCATTTATTTTTCTCATTCCCCTACAATCGACCCTGCAACATCAGTTGATATAATCGTTTGTATTATGATAACTAATCGTTTAAAAGCCACAGCAAATTGAATAAAAATTTTGTTCGAAGGGGCTCCATACAATGTGCCCATCCATAATCAGTATAAATTCTCACCAGCAATGCCTTCTCATCAGTATACTCGTCAGTATTGTAGTATTGGCTCACTTCAATTTTCACCAGTAAAAGTTGACCCCAGCTTGTCTCTTAATCAGTATAGATTCTCACCAGTATGGGCTCACTCCAATGTGTCCCCTTATCAGTATAGATTCTCACCAGTATGGCCCAATCCAATATGTCCCCTAATGAGAGATTATCACCAGCCTGAGTGGATTCACACCAACGTGTAACAACCAACTTCAGTATACATTTTCACAAATATGGACTCATATAATTGTGTCACCTAATAAGTAGATTCAAGATTCAAGATTCAAGATTTTATTGTGTTTCAAACCAAACACTTGGTTTCCTCACAAAATCAATTACAAGACATTTACATATAATTATACAGTTAAAAAAACAACATGCATTGTTTCACAAATACCATCATACAATCTTTCCTTTTTCAAATAGCTCCCGACGCTGATTAAAAAGTTTATTTATAAGTATGAATTCACTCCAATATTGACTCACCAGTCACTCCAATGTGTCCCCTTATAAGTATACAATCTCACCAGCATGGTCTTACTCCGATGTGTCCACTAATCAATGTAGATTCTCATCATCAGGGCTCAGTACAATGTGTCCCCTAATCAGTACAAATCCTTATCAGTATGGGCTCAATCCAATGTGTTCACTAATCAGTCTTAATTTCCACCAGTATGGACTCACTCCAAGGTGTCCCATGAACAGTATCCGGGGTTTCATTAGCAGCAGGCAACAGGCGATTTTCACTGGTTGTTTTCTCAAAATCGCTTGTTGTTTTGGGACTTTTCAACTTTTCCATGTTAAATTTATGATATCCATTAATTTTGCGTGTTGTTTTCATTTATTTAGCCTGTTGTGAGAAATTCTCGTGAAACCCAAGAGTATAGATCCAACCAGTATGACCTCAATCCAATGTGTCCCCTCAGTAGTATATGTTCACTCCAAAGTGTACACTAATCAGTATAGAATCTCACTTGTATGAACTCAATCTGTTGTGCTCTTTCATCAGTATGAATTCTCAACATAATTGCTCACTCCAATGTGTTCCCTAATCAGTATAGATTTTCACCAGTATGGATCCACTCCAATGTATCAACTTATCAGTATAAATTCTCATCAGAAGGGCTCACTCCAATGCGTCCCTTCATCATTGATTCTTATTAGTAATGATTCACTCCAATGTGTCCCCTAATCAGTATAAATCGACACCAATATGGACTCACTCCAATGTGTTCAGTTATGAATGTAAATGTTCACCAATATGGGCTCACTCAAATGTGTTCACTGATCAGTGTAATTTCTCACCAGTATGGGCTCACTCAAACGTGTTCACTCTTCAGTGTAAATTCTCACCAGTATGGGCCCATTCCAATGTGTCCACTCATCTTTGCAAATTATCACCAATATGGACTCACTCCAATGTGTCTCCTCATCAGTGTAAATCACAGTGCAAATTCTCACCAGTTTGGGTTCACTCCAATGTGTCCACTCATCAGTGCAAATTATCACCAGTATGGGCTCACTCCAAAGTGTTCACTGATCAATGTAAATTCTCACCAGTATGGACTTACTCTAACCTGTCTCCTCATCAGTGTAAATTATCACTAGTATGGGCTCACTCCAACGTGTCCAATAAGCTCACTAGTGTGGCTTCCTTACAATTCTCTGTATAAATCATCACCAGCAATGGCTCATTCCAATCTACTCCCCAACCAGTATAAATTCTCACCAGTTTATATGCGCTCATTCCAAAGTGTGCCCTAATAAGAGTAAATTCTCAACAGTATAATCAATACATGTTTTCAATAATTGAGTTAGGTGGAACAGCGTTATTTAGAAAAATCTGCTAACGGCTGCAGTTTTGGACATTTCAAAACACTAAATAGTTGAGAGGTTATGCTTTGCATATATAATCGAAACTGAACCTGTACGTATCACTCGACCATATACAAATTCATGTAGCCTTCTCATATAAATAGCCGTTCAAATCCAGTGTTTGTTTAGACTACACCATAGCGTGTAATGATTCTATAGTATGTCATTGATGCGGTTTTATAGCTGGTTTTCTAATACATATTTTAAACGAGCTCGTTTCGTTAGATTTTTGGCGCTAAATCATGCATGACATACATCATCGTGTTCAGAAAGAATTCAACTGTGCATCGAAATCAAAATTGACAGCAAAGTGTTCAATAGACACGAGTAAAATGGTTCCCGTTGACCCAACGTCAAATTTCAAAATCTCCCGTTCTAAACCCGAAACTCTGAAGCTGAAAGAGTATCTGAAGTAGACTAAGCGCGCATAAAACTATGAGCGCTCGATACATTCCTTTGTTAATTTTTGTACTTTGCGTTCACGGTTACGTTGCGAAAAACATCGTTAGCTTAACCTCTCCACTGTCATCCGCCAACGGACGTACATAGTTTAAACATGTTAAGTAATGTTTATGTTTATATTCATTCTACTTCAAAATATTCACCCCAGGCTGCGACGGACCTCCTACGTCTGTCCACCCAATCGGAGTGAATCCATAAAAACAAATATTTAAGGCCTCCCCGTGAGAGGTTGTAAACTCTTTCGCCGGTTTTCCAGAACCGCAACGCTGCTCCGCCTAATTCAATAATTGAAAATTTGTATCGACCCTGTGTCACTACCAATAAACTAATTTGTATGAAACGCATGCAGGTTCAAGCAAACTAACTGCCCTGTCTCGTATTAAAGTTTGAGCATCCAACTCATCTTATCATAAAATCAAGAGACAACGGTAAGAAAATTTTTGATCAACCCTTGTATGTCTGGTCTTAGTGAGGTCGCACAGTTCGATATATCTATTTTTATAAGTTAAAGACATCCGTAATGTTATTGTATTAATAAATCACTTTTTGATGTGAACCAACTCACTGCAACTGCAATACCGTGTACTCATCAATTCTCTCACTGCGTATGAGCAAAGCACTGGTTAACCACTCGATTACGCTGGAACCGTTTCGGTAACAAAATGTCGGAATGTCGAAGGCACGTTTTTTCTTTTTCTTATTTCACACGTTGTAGGCAGAATTCCCACGACATTTTTATCACAAAAGTACGTGTATCAATATCATATGATTAAGAAAATGTACACATTTGCGAAGAAATAGTTCAGAAGACAACGGAATCGTTGATTTAATCCCACACTTAAGTCACCGAAACGGTATTTCGAAAAACAGTTAAGATCTGCACTTTTAACCCTTACCGTTTATGTAACTTAAGTGAGGAATTAAATCGACGATTCTGTTGTCTTCTGAGTTATTTTTCGCAAACATGTACCTTTTATAAAACATATGATACTGATACACGTTTGTGAGAAAAAATGTCGTGGGGATTCTGCTTACAACGAGTGAAATAAGCAAAAAAGAAAAATCGTACCTTCGACGTTCCGACATTTTGTTACCGAAACGGTAATCGAGCGGATCACCAGTGGAAAGAAATCAAATATAATTTAAAACGACTTGCCGTAAGTTATAAAGTAAAAAACGTGCAAAATAGATGTCACGGTTGTCGTTCAGACTAAAAACCTGAAAAACGCCTTCGATCGCATGTCCACATTGCGCGATACATGTGCTCCAAAAACATGAATTGTGAACCAGATTTTCTTGTTTTAAGACCCATGTTTACATTTGAAAGAATAGTACATGTAGTAGTAAAGAGAGGAGTTGAGAGTAGGTTTCTAAAAACTGTTTTCATACATTATGTTTACTTTCATCATTGTAACACAAATGCCTACATGTACCTAATACGCGGATCCAGGATTTTATGCCAGAGGGGAGGGGGGCTAATATATCCCATATAGTGGAAATGCAATAAAATGACTTTGCATATGCACGGGGGTAAAGCAGACCCGATGATGCAATGAGCTTGCTCGGCGGTATCATGACTGTGTAACGGGTCTTAATGTATAAGTGTGCTCGGTGGTAGGTTCAAACAACGCGGATCCTCAAAGCATGTGCTCATGGTATATTCGTGTTTTAACACCCGTGATATGAATGATTTGTTTATTTTTATTTTTACTATTGAAATGGCCATATGCCCCTTAAAACTGTACTTGGTATTGGATAAAGCAGTTATGTACGGTCGTTTTGGATATCGGGTTCATCCCTCGTGAGATATGCACATCTACCATCGTTTGAAAGATGGCGCTAATTTGTATTTCCCAATTTCATCAACCGAAGATACCTCAAGAAAAGCCGGAGAATGCCGAAGATTTTCTTTGCCAACGAAGTTGGCCGAGGGTACCACGAATGTGAAGAGGACGTCTCTAATTGGTCAAAAAGAGAGGCTCGGCATTCTCCGTCAGATTGAATCGGCAAGATTCGGTTGTATGGCGTACCTTCGGTTGTATGGCTTACCTTCGGCTGCATGGCCCAACCTCGATTGAATGGAAAAGATGCTGTCCCATTTCATGTGATATCTTAGATTTTCTGGATTGTACCGGAAAATCTTAAGGTGCCATGATACTTAACAGGAAATGACAAAACAGGAAGTGACAAAAATTAGCATTTTTAGACATTTTGTAAACAAAGATTTCTGTTTTGACCTCCAATCAATTCAACTAGTTCCACAAACCATTTACAGGTCCAGGATCACAATGTTCATGGTCAGAATGACCATAAACATGATGAAATAACCTTTTCAGCCCTCTGAAAATGTGACTGAAAAATAGCTAAAAGTAGGAATTTTTGTCACTTCCTGTTTCGTCATTTCCTGTTAAATATCATGGCACCTAGGCCTTAACTAATACAGGACGACAACTACAAAACTAGTCCACCATAAATACCATAGGATGAAGGCCGATAAACATGACTTTTGAATAAAGAGTCCATGTCAATCCTTATACTTATTTCTACCGCTGCTGCCATCTTTATTATGGCCCAAAACCTTTCATAAATACACCATTGCGGAGATAGCCTCTACCGAAAACAAAGCAAGACTAGCACTACACACTTATATACACGAATATGACATTTTTCCACACCACTAATTCCCCTTCACCCAGCATTAAGACTGATTTAGATCCGGGGCAAAACGTTTTTGTATTGACTATTCGACTGTAGATGAGTGATTAAATAATTTAATTAACACAGATAACACAGCAGATCAATCGTCTTTTGTGCCACACTGTTTTTTTTAAAGCTTGCCAAGTGTCCATTCGTTAAAAACAATAGAAAAAGAATGTACTCGTCTTTTGTTAAAACTGTACATTCTTTGAAACAAACTACAGCTCAGTCTATTGTGCTGCTACCTAAGTGGCATTCTGATACTCATAAGCATCGTTCTGTTTCACCTGAAACATGGGCTGAGAAGAATTGAGATGGCATGGTTTATCACGATGCCTTAGTAGTGGTGTTTTATACGCGTGCAACAAATATTCCAATGGCCTAAACACAACATACTCGTTTCCCAGTTTGATTTTCAATATATAGGTTGGAAAATAAAAAAAAGTTATAGTGTCTTGAAAAGTGGCTTTTTTGGCCCACCCTGTATATATATTTCAAATTATATTGTTACTATTCAAAAGATGACCATTAATTAATTGACGATGTGTAACATTTTTAGAATTTTTTGATGAATGGTTTAAGAGAAACGTGTTTTCAAAAAGTTCACCATATCGATACCAATCCTTTATGAAATAACGGATTTTAACGGAAAGTGTTATTAACAAGACACCAGGGGTGGCCCCAAAATTAAGGAAGGGGCCCCACAAAAATTCCGCGCTTGCGCAGATGACAATTATGGCAAAAAATAATGCCCAATAATGCCCAATTTTTTAAAATGCCTATTATTTGGTTGATTTACAAACTCGAGCCAACTTATGGCTTGTAAAATAATAGCTTTACTTTTGACCTTTTGGGGCCCTAATTTCTTCGGGGCCCAACTTAGGGGGAGGGGGCTTAATCCCCTCATGTCCACCAGTGAGACAGTGTAAGATTTTGTACTGAAAACACACACCATCGATAAAAACGAACTCTAAAATTTAATACAACAAACGTAACGAATCATTTAGTTCCCTGTAATAGCTTAATAGCAATTGGCAACATCACATCAAAATGCACCTTGCAAATGTCACCAACTGTTACGCTCTACCTCGAAATGAAAAAAAGCTTCATACGTCTAGGGGCGTTGCAACAAGGGTCGTGTTTTACGGTCTTTTTAATTTTAAAATCAAGGTAAACAACAATTGATGTCACGATGACTTGACAATATAATAACGCTTAAATGGTCTGTTTATATGGCGATAGACACCATCAGAAAGTTTGAAAATGACGAAACTCAATATAAACCTATAAGAGATGTAGATGAATGTCCCAGGTGTATTCTGATAATAACTGATATATCAACTGATATCAGTCTCACAGACAAATTCAGTGCATTAATTATATTTGGTGGGATTTACTGGTTGGTTGTTTGGTTAAAGGGGAGGTCACGTGACTCACGTATCCTATCGGCTATCAGCCATTGTCCCCCGAAGGAAAGGCACATCTTGCTTCATCAAGCTTCGGACCTATCCTCAGATAGAACGTAGTGATTGAGCGTGGGAACCGACGATGGGAAAGGCATGCAATGACCAGGAATATTTTCTTTTCAAAATACCGAATAGTCAAAAAGGCTGGACCAATTAGTTTTGTGATTACGCGGCTAAACAGGCCGTGTATGGTTTCCGCTCTGTAGTACATTTAACTCGTTAATTAGTTATATGGTCTTTAAAAGTTAGAACAGAGCTACGCCTACACTGTGGAGGCAGGCTGGACCAACTAGTTTTGTGATTACGCGGCTAAACATACATTTAATTTAGAAGGGCCTTATGTGTAGATTATTATTAATGACCAGAATGTAGTTATGATATCAGTAAAACTGATAAGCTCCAAATAACCAAATGTCACGATGGATAGTAAAAAGCATTTTGGCACCTGATCAGTGAGTACTGACACAAAAAAACATATAAACAAATTATGCGAAAATTGATGGCATAAAATAGGTGATGTTAACCTAGAAAGAGAGTAAAAAACATGAGCGAAGTCAAGTAGGCAATGGTGAAATTAAATGCATGGGTAACCTTTACACCGGAATAGCCTGACAACGGTAAAGTCAGATACCGTTGTCACAAATGGCGGACATAACCGTCGCTTCAATTAGATTTTCATGCACTGTATGTTTAATAGAGCACCTAGACTAAATTCCTTTGGAACAGCAATCAATCAAAGTGTCTTTATACTCATTATACAGTAATGCCTTGGTCACATTTGCTCCGATCCATCGGCCGGCGCCCGCCCGATTGAGTGTTTTGTTCAATATTGTATTCAATTTTGAACAAAATACTCAATCGGCCGGGCGCCGTAGAGAAAATTGGAGCAAATGTGATCAAGGCATTAATAATGTTCTACCATCGAAACAAAGTCTTTAATTTAACCGATCAAAATGAGATACGGGACAATGGACACTGTATTACCATATGCCGTACGCGTTGTCTTTGTACATTATTTCAAATTCAGATTCCATTGTCATTGACGATATCGAAGACGCTATATTATAGCGATTCACGACCCAATTTGATCGAAATTGGGATTTCATATGATATATCATCACAAGAGCTTAATGCATGCACAGAATTAGCGACGATAAAATCCCATGAAATGAGAAACAAGTGATTAAAGAGTTGAAGCGACTGTTCTGTCCGCCATTTGTGACAGCGGTATCTGACTTTACCGTTGTCAGGCTATTCCGGTGTGAACCTTGTAATCAGCCCGATATGTTAGAATCGAAGATAGCATAAATTATATTTACATGTGTTATATATATTATACGTTCATTATCCGATGCCTTCCCGTTCAAATACAGACTCATAGAGATTACGAGGAACTTATGCCACGGGAGGCCGTCTATGGTTTCCGTTCTGGAGTACGTTAATTAGTTATAGGGTCTTTAAAAGTTAGAACAGAGCTGCAACTGTGGAGCCTATAGTTCATAAGTTGTATGTGAAGCTCTATTTTAAACAACCAAAGAAGCAAACTCAATTGGAAAAAGTAGGAGTCAATTTATTAATCGGACGAATATGTAATTGCATAACCTTTGCAATCGTTTGACTTCACTTCTTAAAAGAGAGCTTCGTCTTCGTAGTTTAACTAGACTCTGCACGCAGGGTAGTAATTGCAGCAGTGTCAATTATAGAAGCTATACATCTAGGCTAAGTTAACACAGAAGTTAAAGTTTAAAACAGAATGACCTCGGGATAACATAAAATCATAAAATAGCACATTGACTCAAACATCAATAAAGAAGAACTTGGTCATCAAACTTTTGCATTTACCCGACCTGATATTAGTTTATTGTTGAAGTTAATGAAACTGTAAGTATAACCAGTTATTGTATTGTATTGTATTGTACTATATTGCGTTGCGTTGTATTGTATTGTAATGTATTGTATTAATTGTATTTTATTGGCGTAATGTAATGTATCCAATTGTTTTGTATTGCAATGTATTATACTTAAATGTATTGCATTGTATTGCACTTAGATGTATTGTAATGAATGCTTTTACCATTAAGTAAAACAGATTCAAAGGTAAGGTGCTGTGATTGCAATATGACAACCATCTGCGCGCAGAGTATAGTCATAAACTACGAAGTTCTCTTGTTAGAAGAGAAATCGAAAGAATACTACATGTATAAAGCGCCAACCATCTGTTGCCAGTGCTACACTGGGAGCAGAGTCTACTTAATAAACTACAAAGCTCTCTTGTTAGAGACAGAGTCGAACGAATGCAAAGGGGATGCTATGTTTAACTCTGAAGACGAAGCTCTCTTTTAAGAAGTGAAGTCAAACGAATGCAAAGGGTATGTTTGAAAATTTTGCATGGATGAACTGGGCCGAGAAATCTTCTTCTTAATGTCGGAACATAACTCCATTTTTGTAACTATTTTCCACAGAATACTCTGTTGCTCATATCAGGAAGACTTGGCAATTCACAATAAAGACATTTTCTGATTTTAGTAATCACAAATTAAAGTTTTGAAATGATGCCAAGTCAAGAAGGGTTTTCCAGGAAACACTTGTTTTCAGGATTCTTACGGCTACAAAAGCGCTTGGTTCCCTTTTCCTGACGAGACTACGATAAAATATTTGAAAAATCTCCATCGTTAAAAGTCGAGAGCATTTATTAATTCATGGTATTCACATTTATAACAGTGACACTTTAATCTCATACAAGTGAGCAGCTGATAAATACACAAACGTACATGTAGTTTATGAGTTACATAGTACCATGTTCATAAAGAGATAGAATTAATTGATTTTTATATTGATTTTTTCTAAATAAAAACGATATAGTATCATCTAAACATAAACGACTTTAGATGCAGCATGGCGGATAAATAATATGAGTATTAGTAAAGCATGATCATTATGAAATTACTATGATACAGCAAGGTTTATAGTATTGTATTTATATATAGATACCCTTTGCATTCGTTTGACTTCACTTCTTAAAAGAGAGCTTCGTAGTTTAACTAGACTCTGCACGCAGGGTAATATATAGAGAGAGGGCCTTGAAAAAGGATGAATTATATCAAACTCTACTACTTTGGGAGGCAGTTAAACAAAACTATAATAGTCGGCATTGATCACGCAAATAAGGTATGTAGTAAGAAGAGGAGGGGGGGGGGTACCCCAGGGTTCAAAAATGGTTAAAATAGAAATGACCATCCTAGCTGATTGGTCAACACAACACAAATGGCTGATCAGATTCAAAATTTTGTAAAAACGCTTCGAATAATGTGACGTTAACTTTTGTTGTATATACCCATAATTCTAGCTTGTTATTTTACGTAAAAATATGTTTGCATCGATTGAAACATCACATCGACGTGTACGTACTTTTCGGAAACTGGATGGTGAAAATTCGGATAAACAAAGGAGGTAAGCAAGAGAGGTAATGATTAGGTCATCTCTGAGCGCTTGGGTTTTTTGCCTACAAAAACGTTCGTTTGGTAGATGTTCACTAGATAGAGGGTAATTTATATAGAAGTTAGTAGAGTATGGGTGTTCACTAGAGACAGGTGTTCACTTATTAATACAGGATTTACTGTACTTTAAATTTGATAATTCGCCAGAAAGTTTTCAATACACATTAATGGTTCGGTTATTTCGACACCTTGATGTCTTGTTCGTAACACTACACTCCCCTCCATAAGTTTGGCAACCTTTTTCCCCCATTGAACTACGTGTTAAAGCCTCTTTACGTTTGGTTTGAATTTTTATTTACTTAACCGGCGATGAAATAACTTATAATATTAATGGAAACGTAACTTGACTTCATTTCCAATACCTCCAAATTTTCTCAATTTTTTTCCTCAATTACAATAGGTCGAAAATTGATGATAAATTTGATGAATTTTTGAAAATCGTCATTCCCATGTAATCCAATGGGAAATGAAGGGTTCGGGGCAAAACAGAAATCAGGATATCTTTTCAGTAAAATATTCAGCAAAAAAAAAGGGCAAATTGTTGACAGACGAACAGACAGACGGACAAGTGAGTGATTGCAATAGCTGGTCATAAACCCTTCTATCCTTCTTGCCAGAATGCTGTGTATTGTACTCATATATTGGAGTTTCAATAAATAATTTCAAAACCTGCATTTTAATAATCAGGCTACTTTATTATCATAGATACGGGATAATTGACGTTATGTTAAAGAAAATGACGTTTAACAAGTAAATAAGCTACACTCCCCTCCATAAGTTTGGCAACCTTTTTTCCCCCATTGAACTACGTGTTAAGCCTCTTTACTTTTGAATTTTTATTTACTTAACCTGCGATGAAAATACTTAAACTATTGATGGAAACGTAATTTGACTTTTATTCCAATACCTCCAAATTTTCTCAATTTTTTTCCTCAATTACAATAGGTCGAAAGTTGATGATAAATTTGATGAATTTTTGAAAATCGACATTTCCATGTTAACCAATGGGAAATGGTAGGTTTGCCGCAAGTCATATGACAGAATATCCATCCATCCGAGTCCTTGCAAAAAATACGAGTTAGGCAGGCAATTGAATTTGCTAACTTTATTTAACAAGAAATTGATATGTTTCTTCAGGTTCAACAAAGTTATAGGGCTTTAAAGTCAAAATTGTTTTTCAAAAAACTCTCCCAATGAAATAACACAGGAGGCGAAAAATTATTTTCAAAAATGACTTTGAAGCGCTGTAACTTTAATATTCATCAAATAAACTAAACACTTAGTGTTCAAAAAAGTTAGACAATTCAATTTTATTTTTGTATAACGCATGGAAACTAACTTTAAAAAGGGAGCAATGTCAGTAGTGTTGTGATAATAACGTCCCTTATACCTATTTATTACAGGTCGTGTAGACCAGTGTTGCCTGATTTATAGCAAAAACATTGACTTTTGCACGTTAGTGATGATGCGCCTTTTTTAATAGATCTCATATCTTAGAAGGGTATCAGTTAAAAAAAAAGACTAGAAGACCTAACATATTTTGCCATGCACTGCGCCTATTAAGTTTAGATTAACATAATTTATTTACACCACATGTAAAAAGGATCTAGTGCACCCTCCATTATGATCTCCCCATGAACAAAAATAGATTCATCTGATTTTTCAAAATGGATATATTGCTTTTATTATTACACTTATATGTACACTAGTATCTTGATGACCTATATTCAGCTCTCTATTGATTAATGGGCCACTTATTAGGGCCAATATTCAATCATAAAGTGTACAGGGGTAGAGATGCCAAAACTAGGAAGTCTCTTTGTGTCTGTCAAAATCCATTTGCTTCCTACACATCCCTACATACTATCCAAATATGTTATGAAACATAACAGTATAATCTTTGAATTTACAAAGTTGCTTGGGATTTCATAAGTGTAAAAGTTGCTTTTGAAGCATTTTCTATAGCCATTTTGTAGGAAAAAAATGATGAAAAAATGTTTAATCTTTTAATTTGAAGCATGACCTGAATCGATTGCAAACTTTATATTTGCGCATCTGATGTGATATACCATTTGTGTCATATTGTGAAATTATTTAATTTGCATTCGATTCAGGTCATAGTGTATTTTAGGTATTTTTGTGAAAATCAATAAAAACTAATGGCCTCCATTGGAATCTGATGATATCCACATGTCAAGTCAATACACCTTTGCTGCACTTAATGACCTCAACCTCAGCCCATGTGGGTCCAACCGCTTAAGTATTATGTGACATTGTATTCTTTATATTACACCTAAAAATGATTCATTTTGTTCATGGAAAGTTCATAATAGAAAGTGCACTACGACGCCGTCTTTGCAATATTTTAACTTAGATAACAGCACACATAAACCGTGTTTTATTCTCAGTATCTCTGTATTATTTTGCGACTGGCACTTTCTTTTCATTTTCGTTACTATAAAAATAGTTTACAAGCAGCTTCATAAAAAGGTTAAATATGTCACGTTGGTCCAATAACTCCGAATAAACTAACTAAGATTCCTACATATAAATCAAACGATGATATTAATGCAGACTATGTCAAACAGTCAGTCGTTATAAAAACCTTGATGAACACGATCATGAACTCTGTATTGATTTGAAAAAAATGGATAAAATATATCTATTAAGATTGATCAATAAGGTATAGTAGGTGTATGTTTGGTTAAATTAATTACGACCAACAGCCTTTGCAAAATAATACTTGGTTAATTTGGATCATATGTGTACATGATTGTGTACATGTTACATATTAGTTTAAATAGCATACATTGGTAAGAATGATTACCATATTTGTGGACGGTGTTCGTCTGTGTCAAATGGCAGGTGGTGATATTTTGCATGTTAATGCCTCGTTGTTTTTGACGTTTATACATTTAATCCTCATATTTGCAACAAGGCAGATCAGCTAATAGATTTATGATTAACTGCTACGCGTCGGACGAAAAAACAAACAATTTAGGTGAAGCACCAAGATTTTTTGCCGTTGATTTGATAAGCGAATTTAGGGATATTTCCTGAAGCTATGGTTGTATAATTCTTATAATTATACACAATTGAATTCAACGTTTGTACTGACCAAGCTCAGATGACAGATATACCCAAAGTGACGGTGGAAGTGATCATTGTCCTTCCGCACTTTCAAAATGGGTGTAGACTTTTGGCAATCAACCGAAGATACCTCAAGAAAAGCCGGAGATTGCCGAAGATTGCCGAAGCTTTTCTTTGCAAACGAAGTTGGCCGAGGGTACCACGAATGTGAAGAGGACGTCTCTAATTGGTCAAAAATAGAGGCTCGGCATTCTCCGTCAGATTGAATCGGCAAAATTCGGTTGTAAGGCTTACCTTCGGTTGTATGGCTTACCTTCGGCTGCATGGCTCAACCTCGATTGATCGGAAAAGATGCTGTCCCCTTTCAAAATGGCTACTTTTCATTTCTCGAGATCGCGCAACTAGCCCAGTCAAACTAATGAGAAAAATAGCTTAACCCAAAACAAATTGCAATAGAAATCAAAATAGGTTAGTTATTTACATTTATTAACCTTGAAATACATACTAAAAATCTACCAAAATCGAAATAGTGGAACAATGTTAAAATTTGAATCGAAGATACCCCCTACCCCACCCCCTTCAATTCATAAGTGCAGGACTAAAAAACATATTTCTTAAAGTTGAGATCTTATTTTTACATAATTTAGCTTGACCACAATTGGATATTGTTTTTCCTAGATAATAATATTAATTTAACCAAGAAAAAGTTCATTTGTCTTCTTTTTAACCCTTACAAACCCAGAAAATATTGAAAAAATCTCTCAAATTTCGCATATAATATTTTGAATATGTGTTTTTATCATGATAGGACCTTCTAGAAAATGTCCTATAATTTTATAACGATGGACCAACATTACATTTATTATTCCTTTGTAATATTGAAATGATAGGTTTATTGAATTTTGAGAAATAAACTTTTTGATACCGTATGGTTAGGCTACTAGAATGTAGGTCGGAAAATGAAATTTGTACAAATGAGAGGAAATGGCACAAATAAGGTACCGTTGTAAAACTAATGACCCAATCTTTTCAAATCCACTTGTTTCCCAGTCTCAAATTTGTTACCAATAATGTCAAATGCCAGTTTCCATAGCAACCATTTGAATATTGTTAATAGATGTAATACGATATTAGGCAAATTCAACTCATTATTCCTCGACTCAAATTCATATTTGTATCATAATGAAGCAATAAATATGCAATTAGCCCATATGCAAATTAGCTCGTTTGCTAATTTATTATGACATCATATGATGTGTATTTTATCGTACCTAAAAAGGTACGATACTGTTGTCTGCTTGGCGGATGGGTGGTGTTGCATTTTTCTTGGAATCACGATTCCTGGAAAACCACTTAATGGATTCACTTCAAATTTTCACAAATGTTACATGGAAAGAAGTTCTTGAGCTGATTCACTTTTCGGTGGCCATCTTGCATTCTGGCGGCCATCTTGGAAGTTTTTAGATAAATCTTGCCATCACAATTCCCAAAAATCTCTCAACATATTTATTTCAAATTTTTCACATGTTACATGGTAAGAAGTTCTAGATCTAAAAATCTTTTCAGAAGCCATCTTGCATTCTTGTCCCCTTTCAGTGGCCATCTTGCATTGTGGCGGCCATTTTGGAAGTTTTGGATTAATTTTGTCATTGGCATTCCATGAAAACCACTTAATGGATTAACTTCAAAACTTTACACATGTTACATGGTAAGATGTTCTACAGCTGATAGACATTTTGGTGGTCATCTTGCTTTTTGGGTAAACAAGCCCACACTGCTATGGTGGTTAACCCTGTGCCTTGTTCTACATTGCACTAATATATTTAGACACAATGTTGATTGGTATTGTAAAAGTTGATATTGTCACGCGGTAAACACGATACAAATATATGTTATATTCCGCAACGAATATGGCATATCCACTTGCGGTGTATGCCAGATTCACCCGCGGTATATGGCATACACACTAACCAATGAGAACTTTAAATGGAAACAATCAAATAGATGCATTCTGTATAACGTTTTCATCTGCTGTATATGGCATATTCGGCAGTTGAGTGTATCGCATATTCACAGCGGAATATGCCATACTCACCATTGGAATATGCCATATACTGCAAATATCGCACAACCATGAATATATGCCATATTCCGCATAACAACTATAAGAGTATGACTGGAATATGTAAGCACTAGTGCTAAAGGGTAAGGACCAAAACTTGTTCAGAACAAAGTAAAAAAATTAAGTATACATCAGTCACAAGAAAAAGCAAACCCAAATTGAATGCATCACCAGTGAAATTCAGACTAAATACAATTAAATTTACTGAAAGCTACTTGAATTCACAATTTTGACACTGAAAAGCCAAGGTCATATTTTTGCGATTCTGACACTACACTTTCATAATATTCTTCGAGGTTCGATGTACTGGCAGCCAAGAATATGCTAATAGCCTTAGCCTCATGCAGTCAGAGGGTATCTTAACCTACTTTTGAGATTTGTATGGCAAATAGGTCAGAACAAAAAGTTCTAAATGAATGCAATGTTTTAGGTGTCAAAATACTGCAAAATTTCTGAAATCTGACTTTGAGTTTAGATTCTTTGATGTTTTGAAATCTCGAAAAGTCGACTTGATGATATCCTCATGTTAAGTCAATGGTGCGAACTTGATCAGCAACCCACTAAGCTTCTTAATCAGCTACTAACAGCTACCTATATCATATTTATAGTGTATATATTATTAATAAGATTTCATTTTCAAGTCCATAAGGGTTATTGGTCTCAATTCTCCCAGTAATTTAAAAATAAGTGAAACAAATGAAGGCCTATCCCTATTTTTCAATTTGTTATGATTTTTTTTCTCAATAACTAATGAATGCAAAATTCTCTTGCTTTGTATATGTATGGATTACATAACAAGGTAAAACTGGGATTTTTTATACATGATTGAGTCGCTTTTTTGGAATATAATGGCGTTCACATAAAATTACCGTGCGCATTTAATGCAAAATTTCAGATGAATAAGGGTTAAAAATATTCTTATTCACTCTGAATACCAAAGTTAAAGAGATACACAGATTGGGATACCTTATTACAAGCAAGAAATTGTAAAATTACTTAAAAAAATTGCAGGCATTTGAAAAATAATTTTTTCCTTAGGGGGGTCTGTTTTTCAAGGGGAGGGGGTACCAAAAATGATTTTTTTACATGTTCCACTGAATAGATTTTGGTAGATTTTTAGTATGTCATTTCATATGTTGATATAAATTGAAAAAACAACATTTTATTACTATTGCAATTAGTTTTGGGTCAAATGTTACTTTGACTGGACTAAACGTGTTGCAAAGAGAACACAAAAGACAATGCTGCTAAATGTTAAACAAGAAGAGAACATATCAAACTAGAAAACTAAAGATTCATTACTTATTAGACCGTGCTTAATGAAATTGCAACACTGACTATTCAAAACATCCATTTTACAAATAAGGTTATCACTGCCGTTGTTTGCTTGGTAAACCTTGTACTGGACATGGCTGATATGTATTATTTAGGAATATTTGAAAAACGAACGCTGTTTTATGTTTGCAGGTCCCGCCTGGTGTAATGGTGCAATAGTTGCGTGAAAAAGTGACCCTGTGACGTCATGGATATGGACATGGAATGGGTTATTGATGAAAGTGATAAAAGAAGTACTGATTCGGTCCTCCGGAAGATCTTTGCTGATCTTTACAAAGCGTTTGACAATGCAAATACAAACGACGTGGAATATATTTTGAATACATACGGACAAACCTTATTGGAAGATGAAATTGGCTACCATGGCAACGGAGTTGCCCATCTTGCCGCCATGTTTGAGTATGATTGTTTTGATTGGATATTAAAGTCTGGCGGGGATATCAACGAGACAAGCGCATTCTCCGGATATACCCCCTTGATGATTGCAGTCGTCAACAACAGCCAATCGATGGTAAATACACTCCTTTGCCACGGTGTAAATCTCGAAACCGTTGACAGAGAAGGACATACTGCTCTTCATCTCGCCATCATATATAATCAGGTGGAGATCGCGAAACTGCTGATTTCGAAACAGAGTAATCTAAACGTTCAGTCACGAGTGGGCCTAACTCCGCTTCATTTAGCAGCTATTCACAAGCAGGCGATAACGACAAAACATCTAATTGACAATGGTGCTCACGTTAATGTCCTAGATAGCAATACAAAATCTCCTCTCCATCATGCCACTGAAAGTGGTAGCTTGCCTAATGTCATTGCTCTTATGAAAAATGGAGCCATGCATAATATTTTTGATAGTACCAACCATTCGCCATTAATTTATGCAATCGAGCGTTCTCACGATGACATTATGCAATTTTTTATTTCTTCTAAAGTCAAAGTCAACTTACGTGGTAAATTAGGTAAGCAGCCTATACACTATGCAGCAAAATTTGCCAACAGTTCTTGTTTAGCGACTCTCATAGCAGCCGGGGCAGATATTCATTCATTGGATAACAATCATAACGCCCCCTTGGCGATAGCCGTCGCTCAAAATAGACCAGACAACGTCAGGCTACTTCTCCACAACAATGCCCAGATAAACCAACATATAGGTACGTCAATTTTGACCGTTGCTATGGAATCAAATGCCGTTGACATAGTGATGAGTTTACTGCACGAGGGATGCAAATTTAGTGAAGATGACAAGACGAACCTTTTCAACTTTATAAACACTAAAGTAACTGATCAGGATTGTAAAACAAATTTACTAGATATGATTATAAATCCAGCTTCTTTAAAGCGTACATGTAGACGGGTAATCAGGGATACTTTTACAGCAAAAACGATAAACAAATTAGATGAACTTCCGCTTCCGACCGCCATCTTACAATATATTTATCAAGTGCCATAGATCTATCATATACTCCAGTGCGAATAGGTCACTGTTAAAACATATGGAGGGGACAAAAACTCCGTCGACAGTTGGACCTAGAGTACTACACGTCTTGTATGACGTCACTTGGATTATTGTCTCCATGAGTTGGGTGCGACCGCAACTTTTTGAGCCTATCCTCAGGCATTTCGTCCATGGCGCTGAGGAGAAGGGGACTCGGAAGAAAGAAGAACTACGTGATATTTGGATAGAGGTGGACGTCAAGTGCAAGCTATGGCAGCGATTAAGACTTTGTTTTAGATGTACGCACACTCCCCATTGAAATAATCCTAGAAACGTCCCTGATATACATCGTGGTAAGCCACGCCCTCTCCATCTCTATCCTTCTGGAGATGTGATGCAACAGAGAGAGATGCTATGAGTATCAGAATGCCTGATATATAAGAAAGGGAAATTGACCAATTACGTTAAAGAAAAGACCTAAATAAAATTGTGTATCTCATACTTAAGTGGGTTTGGGGTAGATATCACTCGGGAATATATATCATATCTGAGGAGCGGGCAGGATATATTGTATATGTCCCGCTCCAGGCCAAATGCGGGCAGATATAATATATCCATCCCGCTCCCGGGAATTAAATATCAAAAGTTTTAATTTTCTAATTTTAAAATTTAATTTTTTTAAGTTTAAATGTTAAAATTTCATTGTATTGAACAAAAAGAATATTACGAAAATGTTAAATATAAATATCTTGTCATTTGAAAAAGGTGGAAAAGGTTATATCTACCCTAAACCCACTCAAGTATGAGATACACCAGTTATGCACGGTCGGTTTGGATACATGGAATATCCCTTGGGATATACAATACATCTTCCCTCGGTCCCTTCGGTCCCTCGTGAAGATATATTGTATATCCCTCGGGATATTCCCTGTATCCAAAACCTCCCAGTGCATAACCCCTATATACATTATGGTCTGATTATATGTCCCTGCGAATTTCCTGTGTTGTTGAAATGGCATCACCACGAGTATATTTTTAGAACATGTGCAATGATTAAAAATGAAATAAATTTTAATCACAAACATTAGTCTTAAGAATCTTAAAAATGACATCTGCCAACCTAAGGAAAGATAGCAAAAACAAAAACAATGTACATTTCATCTTAACACTTCAATGTTTTTTGTTTGTTTTTTACATCCTCTAAAGGTTTTTACCCCAAGATATATTTTGCAATATAACTTTGCAACCAGAAAAGCTTATTACTTTGTATAATCTTCGATTCTTAAGGTTATCTGGTAAAATAAAATCCCTTTTATAATGTATTTTGGAGTGGGATTTTAAACAAACTAGATCTTCACTAACTTTTCCGTATGATCTTACTCCGTATTTGTATTATATAAAGTTTAGTTTAGTTGAATTTAGTTCAGAAAATAAAATTTGCTTTCTATATACAATTCAAGATAACATTTTTGCCATATTTGTATTTTAAATTTTAAAAACAGTATTTAAAAGGTGAACAAATTCCACGTCCATCTAACCATGTATTTCTCGTCAGGCGTATGGTGGCCTATATATAACGAACATTGCTTTGTGTCTGTGTTAGTATTTGCCAAAAGCATTCGTCTGCCACAGGGGTGCATTGTGTATCGTCACTTCAAATGCCGTAAAGTAACTATTTCTCTACGAATTATCCACAAGAATGCCATGTGGCTACCATTAGTTTATAAAAATTAACAGTTTTCCTCTTTTTTCACAATCTTTATATTTATCCCGAATACGTTTTGGGAACTATCTTGATCTGTTCCAAACTCACATTTGAACTGAAATTTTGATACACCAAGCAAAATCACATCACTTTTAATTTCAACGTCACCTTTCTTCTCTATTCGTTATAACATTAACAATGTTTCACACCATAGAATATTTCGCAAAGTAGTTCATTTGTAAACATATTCTCCGTGTCCCATTTTGCCATGTGTCTTATCGCCTTGAATTGCTGCAAAAGATACCCATAGCTATCGAATGTTCTCTTTACTATATTTTCTTTGATTCCAAATTCAAATTCCTTGGCCCAGTGTGTCCGTGCATGTGGAAATTCCTTGAGCAGTTTAGCAGATACCTACAAATTGTACTTCATTTTATATATGTGTAAAGCGAATCGGCGCTTAGAGCTAGAATTAGTCTAGCTACAAGCCTTTATCCTATGCCAAGTAGAGTTTTAGGGAGATAAGTTGGTAATATATTTCCCATATCCAGAACCTCCATATCTCCCGCCATATCTCCCGCTTCGGTGCATATCTTCCCGCTTCCGGTAATGCAATAAAATAAATGCAATAAAATGACTTTGCATATGAATGATTTGTTTATTTTTACACCTTGTACTATTGAAATGGCCATATGCCCCTGAAAACTCTACTTGGTATAGGATAAAGCAGTTATGTACGGTCGGTTTGGATATTGAGTTCATCCCTCGTGAGATATGCACATCTCCCTTAGGTCCCTACGGTCCCTCAGGTAGATATGCATATCTCCGTCGGGATAAACCCCATATCCAAAACCTCCCAGCACATAACCCTTATTTATGCCCCTCCGTTACATATCTCCCACCTCCCCATGTGAGAAGGTTTCAAATCCATGTAGTCCAGTAATGGGGAGGGGGGGGGGGTCACAAGGTTTTGTAGCTAGACTAAGCTATAATCTGAAATTACACAAGAGGTTGGTTACAAAATTGCAAGCTAGATCTATGGTTTTTCAACCAATGTGTCCTTTACAATTGCAAATATGAGATTTGAAAAATGCTCCATGGTATCTTGGGGTAATGTGGTGGATTTAAAACATGAAAATTAATCAAATACAGGGTGAGCGAAAAAAGGAAACCATAATAACTCAGTAATCCAGTATGTGTTTGAAGTCCCAAATCAAAATGTGACTTTGCTCAAGTAAAATCTTCAGTGTTTATACAGTGTTGAACAAACCTTATCAGAGGTAGCAAAGAACATATCTGGCGGAAGCCCAGCGTTGACGATCTCCATGGAGACGACTGACGTAGCGTCCCTATAGTTTGTAGGACATAAGAAACAGCCTGGATCGCTAGGCTTAAGCCATCTTATAAGACCAGTGACGATCGTGACAAATGGACCATAAGGATGTTCCAAATCTTCCTGTATGATATCTGTAATAATCTAAAAATGGACATTTTATGTAATCAAAAAGATGAATGATTTCTTCACAGAAGTATCGTCGAGATGCTATGCCAAATATGGAGAGTCAGGTGGCATTGACATGATTGACTCACGATTTCGAATCACGTGACCAAATGTCTCATCCAATGTTATGCTTCAGTTAGAGTCACGTGTCTAATTACCATACCACATTGCTGTTCCTTTCAGCTTTAGATCTAGATTAAAAACAATTCGCTAAATTGTTATTTTTATTTTAATATTTTCACATCTGCGTGGTTTTATAAGCACAAAAATATTGATTGACTAAAATCCTATTTATTTAAATCATGATGATTAAAGAGAGAATCAGATATAGCGAGCAGGCTAAACAAAAAATTGTTTTAATTTTGGAAAATTTTTGGCTAATGTCATTCCTTGTCATGTGTATGTTCTAAAAATCACAAAACTGCATACTTTATTCCAGGAAAACTAAAGATTTTTACAATAATGTATTATTTTTCTTTAAGAATGGTTACCATTCTTATTATTTGGGAGAATTTAAACATTTTTCACCCATTTTCGCACTTTGAATAATTAATAACTTCACCAATTTATAACATATTGTGAATCTTTTGTGAGATATTGTATTTGATATTGTAAGTAATAGATTGGTAGGTCAATTTTACAATCATGTTGTTTGCAATTTTGTCACCTCCTATAGATCAGATTCTGCCTTTAACTTGCATCTGGTAATTATCGACAAATACAATCCCTTTGAGTGGATTAGTGATCACTCTCAATCCCAATATCTTAGATCTTTTAATATCTAAGTTCACCTTTGTTTCCCACATCGAACACCATCTACACAGGAAAATATATAAAACCCTCGAAATAGAGAACGTTAACGATTTACGAGTGTTTCTCAATGCTGCAAGCTTGTATCAAAATGCTTACCGTAAATGGGTATGTAAGATACGCTACCATTTTTACTATTGCAGGCTTCCCTGCGCGCACAGTAATTATAAACTGAAGACGAAGCTTTCTCAAAACGAAGAGGAACGTTGCAAGATTCGCAATGGTCCATTGTCCCTTGCATGCTTGCATTAAAATGCATTTGCAATTTACAATGCACATGCAATTATTAATAAGCATCATGGGATCAAAAGCAAGTATTATCCTTTGGGATACTGACCAAAGCGTTAGATAAAACGAGACTCTGAAAAATCAGAATGGTTATCAAGCATTGTATTTTTGATTTTAAATTAATTTATAGATTAAGAACCATTGGTGTTCACCTTTGCAAGTCTTGCCGATGTAGTAAAGTTGTTGTCTTCTGGGAAGAAAAATTGCGTTCCGTGGACAGGTTTGAACATGTGGTCAGTAGAGCCAGTGCGCAGTGCATTAGGAATAGTATGGTACGTTGTCTCTGCAAAGTAGCTTCTAACCTCATCAGCTGAGTCCTGTAACGAAAAATGACAAAGTCTTGCTCCAAGACTGTCGACCCCGCCCCCCTCCCCCTATCTACTTTACAGCACAACACACTGGTGTAGAGTAGATAAGGGGGAAAGGTCCAGGGTCTTGAAGGCAAGACTAAAGAAAAGTCTACGTGTGTGAGCGGTACTTTGCATAAGTTTTGTCGGCTGTCCCTGTGAAAGTAGCTCCTTAGTTTTCCAGCCGATGTCCATATTGATAGCAGTTTTTAGAAGAATACAAATTATTTGAGCATTTGTACATAAAAGGTATGTTCAAGACTATTGGAACTGTAGTATGAAAATAGAAACAGAAAATAAAGTAAGTTTAATAATAGTTTATTTCCGTGTCACAGGTTTGCGGAAAAAGTGCAAGTAAGGAACATGTATTAAAAAATCCAGCAGCCGACATCGGCTTACGAGACACCATATAAATATGCAAAGTAATCAGTAGCAAAAATATAGCATTGGTATGTCAAATTATATCACAGAAAGTTTGTAGAATGTGAACAATTCACAGACAATATGACTAGATTTAAACAACATACAATATAAACATGAGATTTCAAAGTACAATAAACGAGGATGCAGTAATTATGACTTTGGTTGAATAATATTGCACGAGAACGGGGACAGTAAATCCCTCCAGTAAAAGAAAATTATGGTTATCTGTCTATACAAGAACAATTATTTCAGTTTTTGTGATTTTGTAACATGGGGTCTATGGGGAATCAACCCGAACTAGAAAAAAAAAATTTTCAAAGTTGATAAACAATTTTCGAAACCATATTTCTAGATGTACTTTTACATGTAGATTTCAAATATGACATCACTTTGACTGAATTTCGAATATTTAATGACGTAAGTAAAGATTATTTCTACTCGCATTTAGTCTATTGAAAAGTAAACACATTCAAATCTCTCACCTTAAGTGCTTGTAGCCAATGTGCTTTAAAGGTTGCAGGGGTTGTGCTAGGTGGGGCAGGTGTAGTTCCCATAGGATGCGGCCATATATATGGTGGACTTACGGGCTCCTTGCTGTACAGTTCTTGATCATTAGTGTCCAATAGCCTAAAGTATACAGTTAAACATATACTATATAGAGATTATCCTATATGAGGTTCAGGATATTGGGATTATCCCGAGGCAAATTTTGCCCGAGGGCCGCAGGTCCCGAGGGAAAATATATTATATTGACCAAGGGATAATCCCAATATCCTGAACCGACTATAGGATAATATGTTTATCCCATACCAATCTTGGTCATCTGGTTCACATTGTTCAATCGTGGAAATATTTTAGAATATTCATGTCCAGTTTTGTTTTCTTGGCAGTGGGCGGATTTTCCTGTTCTCTCAAATATTCCCACATTTATTTTCTCGAGTTTTTTGATTGATTAAGTGGATGCTCCTTCCCTTTTTTAAACCATCAAACAGATCCCGATTGTCTGTGTTTTCTCCAATTGTCGTTTACAGTCATTACAAATTATGAACAAATATGCGAGCGGCGATTATGACGTAGCGGGCAGATATACTATATCTGCCCGCTCGGAGCGGGACGTAAAGCTATATCTGCCCGCTGATGAAAATATAAGTTTTTACAAACCGGCTTTATGTACCTGTAACACGTCCAAGTATGGGATAAATGTATATAGTGTTTCTTACGTGAACTTAAGAAAAAAATCGTTGTCAGTTTTGTTAACGTCTGAATCTGCTTACTGCTTACCATATTGCAGAGTTTGAGAAAAAATGCGACGTGATTTTTTTTTTTTTGGGGGGGGGTGAACGTACGGACGGAAAGACAATTGTCGAATACATACTCACTTTGTCCACATCATATCATTTTCAGCTTTGTACGACGCTGGAATCGATCCATTGATCGCCAAGAACTTCCAATCATCGTCCGTCATTCCGGTCATCGGACTGTAATGTGCCTGTACATTGAAATTCTTCTCTAATAGATGGCGCAGGTTACTTCCGTTCATGAGGAGTTCCTTGGTTGGATAGAACACGTGCCTCTGACGTGCAATTGCATTCGGTACAACCTATTCATAAATATATGTTAAAATAAACAAATAAAAATCAATCTCTCAACGTATACATATCTAGTGTGAAAATATGTGGACGACAATTCAATTTGATAATATGACGTATTGATAACGATAGGGTTATTTCATGTATTTGAAAATTGGGTTTCCTTTGATCGTTATATAAAGGTCACTGTCCAAATAGACATGTTGTACAGTTATATAGTTACGTTCATTTGATTTTCATATATTTCTAGATATTTGACCGGATTCAATGACAGTTTGGCACACGTTTTGGATACCACACCATTGTCTCTAAAAACTAGTCTTCTCTCTCGGGTCTCTCTGAATAGCTAATGATTCTACACTTTTAAGTTTGATACTATTGAAATCTTTATAATATTTTTATTTTTTCATTGTTTCGATACAAAACACAGATGTCAGGCTATTAGTAAGTCAGTACACAGCTAGGGGAATAGTATTGGAAATCGATCTTGAAATTAGATAAAAATCAATCTGGGTCAAAAAAGTGTATCATGTTGTTTAACAAAAATTGATTTCAAGAGTTGGCCTCTATTTAGTTTATTCTTTCAGTGTTTCGTGAATTCTTTCTTATCTTAATTATATTCATACGCACATTCAGCAACAGAGGTACCAGAGTATTTTATTACGACTAGTTGTTTTGGTATATTAACACGGGCTAATAGAGTTTCCACGTATATGGAGTATGACCGGTTCTTAGGTTACGAATATGACCTGTTTTGGAAAGTCATGAGAGGCACAGCTGCTTAAAATGGAAAACAAAGGTTAACTTCTATATTATCCTTTTTGAAATTGTGTTTGTTGAATATAGTTTATGCTGTATTTAATAGTAATGTAACAAAAAAATGTTAAACATGAGCTATTTTAGCAATGTAACTGTTCATAATGGAATATCAATCAGAAAGTACAGATTTCTCGTCTTAGAGCCAAATCATTAATATCACAGTAGAAAAAACAAATCCCAAACCTTTTTATGGCTAACCTGAACAAGATCTCCAAATCTCAGTTTATATGATCCCCGTAGAATGAGCAAGAGAAGGATTTATCTTTTCCCAGAGGATACGCTTGTGAAATGTCATGGAAACGAGTGTAACACGGCCCACTGATTGTTTCACAACCGTATTCTCCAATAATGGGGCACCAGTGACATTCGTATTCTCAAAAATTCAAAGATTTATTCCATGATGGTGAAATTCCCTGCAATCTGATTGGTCCACGTGACTTAAATATATTCTGTATTTACACGCACTTTCCTGTGTCAATGACGTCAGCGTTGGGATACGGTCCAGTATCCCAACGCCCCAGAAGAAGAATATTTTCTGTATTTCACTCGAATCATTGAATAACTTATAGTATCATATTTGGACAGAGCAGGCTAAATTATTTAAAATATTCATGACTAATTCGTAGATCTAGCTATATATTATACATACGATGTGTCATCCTCTTCGGAGTTGCGTTGTGTTACACAAAAACTGATCAAAGATGCTGGAAACTAGGATTTTACGGCTTCAATCTAATATTAATACGTTTTCTCTTGATTAAGGCCCCTTGTGATATGCCTGGCATTATAAGTATACCAAGTATCATTCATTGACAAAGTTGGATAAAAAGAAAACGTTCGAAAGTGTTCATAAAAAGCAAGTACTCACCTCGTCTGTTTATAGGAACAGAAATACGGTCACACTCGTAAGCTTAGAACCGGTCATACTCAATATACGCGGATACTCTAGTAACCCGTGTATTAATAGGATTGTATTAGTACTGATGCCCTTTTAGGGCCAAACGTACATCCGATACACAGGTGTTAAGTATTGTTAATTATCCATCATACAAATTTTCGCTGAAGAAACAATAGACATTTATTTAACAATCTTTAAAGTTTTTTTTGAAAATTAATGGAATATAGAGTGGTTGCAATAGCAACTTGGAAACGTGTTCAGTGGAGCAATGTTAATAGCACTAGATATACATGTAGCTGACAATAGTTTCTGAATAAAAGTTTAAGAACAAAATCAGCTATACTAAATTGAGCAACCTGTATGACATCGGATGAGTTTTTCTAGATCATGATGTTTTATCCTTATCATCCTCCATGTGGCTCTGAACGATGAAACAAAAACGATCGATTAAGCATAAAAATCAAACATGAATTTAAGTTTCCTCGCCTAAAAAGAAAAAATGTACTTATCTGCCATCTATAGGTATGATCTACACTTAATTCATTTTAACAATGCCTGAATCTCTTGTAGCCTATTCCGATATCCCATACTAGGCGAAGTGACTCTGAGAAGCCATAATCAAGCGGAATTAGGAAAAGACAGTTCTTCCAAAAAAAAATAAATAAATAAATTATTGGACACTGAAATTTTGTAAGGTGTTTTTGTGTAGATATAGAGGAGAATAATATGAGATTGTGTATGAAATCATGTGTTACGTGGACGATCTAAATAAATTAATATAATAACACTCTTAAAAATTATTACTTGGATTTCCTTATATTGAGAAATTGTACTACTCATTTTAAGTCAAAAATTACTTAAATAATCTCGAAGTACTGAATAATTTTTAAGTAATTTTTAAGTAATTCATTTATGGTGAATTTACTAATGCAAGGAGAGAAATTGAAATACTTACTGTAGTAATTGTAATACTCATTTACATAATTAAGCAATTAAAAAACTCAAAATGACAATATAAGTTAAACCTAAGTAAAATGAAGTAAAACTAAGTATTTAACTTTAAGTAATTTTTATACTTGGGAAATACTCAAGTAATTTATTTTTAAGAGTGAAATTTTAAATTCTATATGATCAAGGCCGCTAGAATATTTTTCTGGGAATTCAGCTATAGTTGGCTATAGTGAGGTTAAGCTACCCAAAGAGAAAGTGCATGCGCGGCATGTGACTGAACATCACAGTGAAGGCTGGCTGAACATGCTTCAAAAACTTAATGATCCAAAAGCCATGTCGCAGGTAGCAGCACTCACTGACTCAAGGAGCGTTGTGTGAATCGAAAAAGTTCCAGACCAGAATGTGTTGTGTCTGACACCTGACACCCAGGTTTCATTAGCTTTGGGGGCTGGGGGAAATCATATTGTTCATAAATCAAATATATGAATTACTAAATCTGCTAATGGCACTATCCAAGACAACGTCACGGGGCCAAGAAACATAAGTTAGTGTTTTACAATTAATTTATCTAATTAGATAAATCATTAATGATTAACATAGGCTTACTAGAAAAAATATTTTGGCTCTTGTGGCCTCCCTCGCTCAAGTACGGAACTGACCCCACTAGCGGAAGCTACGCATCACACCTGACAGCTTCATGTTTGAGCTATTTATAAATTTCTGACAGTGTGTGTGGGTGAGGGGGGTCGAGTGGGCCGGGCCTTACAAGTACCATCTCCAAAACCAGATGAGCATGGGTATGAAATCTTTTCAAGTAGCCTATAGACTAGCGGTTCATTGCACCCTTAGTAACTGTTGCTGATAAAAACGTAAACAATTACGTAAGGGGGGGGGGGGGTAGTGGTGGTTAAAGGGCCATTTTCGTTCATAAAAGTAAAGCTAGCTTTGGTTAATTCATGGATAGGGTGGACAATGGACATTGATAGCGCAGGATGCGGATGTGAATCGAATATATTAAAATAATTACGAATAGATAACTCCACTGATTAACCCACTTTTGTTTACTTTGAGGTCACTTTACACTCTAAATGGCACAAATCCGGTGGTTTTACAACACATTTGTATCATGATAAGAAGTGTTAATGATTTTCTAATGCATGATGCCAAAGTTCAGAGCGTTTTCGGTTACATGATATCTGCCATGGCTTCAAGTACATACACTCCCTGGTATAAAAATAGTAAGTCTTGTCTTGTTTTGAAACTCAGAACATGGGATAAGCGAGTGAAATGAGCGAAGAATGAATGTAGAATATAAACAATACACAACGAGGTTTTATATCAATCTAACTTTAGGATTCTAAGATTCAGTGAAAAAGACGAAAAACACAAGAAGAAGAGTAAAATTTTATGGACAAGTAGAACAGCCTATGCAGTAGATAAGCAATGTATCCTCCTCCGCAGAGTCTGAAACTGAAGCCACGACTGCAACTCCGGCAACAGTGACGTGAAATGCAACGGAGAATGCATTTTGGTGAGGTTCTTTACATTGTAGCCAGCACCAACATAAACTGTCTGACTCTAAAACTATTTGGAAGTCAGTCAGGAAGTCAGTCAGGAAGTCAGTGTATCCCAAAAGTTCCTGAACAAAAAGGTAGAGGATTTGGATATATACGAAAACATGTCGAAAGAGGAGCCAATTGACGATGTCAGAGGAGAGGAGTTGGAAGACATTATCGACCCGAATGATAATCTCATGGATCTAGGAGATAGTTGTGATTTGTTCCACTGTAAGCGCTGTCGAACTTCATTTGACAGTGAGGAGAAAATTGATCTTCACGAAGGAAAATGTGCAAGGTCAAAACCTCATGTTTGCGTTAAATGTGGCGCTGGATTTTCGAGAATAACCACGATGAATAACCATAAAAAAATCCACTCGAATGGCTACCAACCCCCTTTGTTTTCATGCACGATTTGCGCAAAAACATTCCGATCTCAAAGAACGCTGAAAGCACACATACCAACGCATGAATTCGAACGTGTCCGGGATTTCGCTTGTTCAGAATGCGACAAAACATACATGAATGCCAAAGGACTTGACCAGCACGTTGCTCTGACCCACAAAGAGAAGACTCACCAGTGTCAAATATGCAACAAAATGTTCGCAAATCACCATAAACTCAAGCGCCATCTATCGTTCCACTTGGATATTAGGAAGTTCCCATGTCTCGACTGTGATTTTAAATTCAAGACATCCCAAGCTTTGAAACGCCACAGTTGGGTGCATAATAAGGAAGACCCGGTGACGTGCGAATTGTGTGGGAAACGTGTTGCTGACAACGGACGGCTCAATGAACATATTAACAGAAAACACAACGATCAACCGAAAAAGGTATTCCCATGTGACTTATGCGAAGTCAAGCTTTCTAGCAAAACTTCACTTTTGGAGCACAAAAGGCGCCATCTAGGATTGAAACCTTTCCAATGCCCCGATTGTGATAAAAAGTTCAGCGACGCTCGTTCCCTAAGAAGCCACAGTGCAACACATAGCGACAAACGTGAATTTAAATGTGGACATTGTAGCAAAGATTTCAAATGGCTTTCCAATCTAAAAGAGCATATTGACGATATGCACACTGTCCATGAGTTGAAATTCAGCTGTCCGTCTTGTGAGATGAAATTCAAATCAGCACGTCATTTGAAACGTCATCAACGTATACACGAAAAACGCGAACGTAAGTTCATATGCCAGTTGTGCAAGAAGGGATTTACATCCCAGAACATTCTGAATGGTCACATGAAAATGCATAACGACGTACGACCATTTTCGTGTGAAATGTGCTCCAAAACGTTCCGAACAAAAGCCTGTTTAATTGATCACATGATTACGCATACCGGGGAACGAGCGTTCGCTTGTACGCAGTGTGACAAGCGATTCGGATATTCTTCGGCACTGGTGAAACACATGAGACTACATACAGGAGAAAGACCATATGTTTGCTTTATATGCCAGGAAGGATTCTTAGAACCGAAACCCCTACATGTCCATATGGAAAAGGTTCATGGCGCTACAGACAACAAACCAAAGAAACTCTTCAAGTGCACCCTTTGCTACAAGAAACTCTGCAACAAGGCGAGCCTCGAGACTCATATGCGCACACATACAGACAACTCGGAGTTTAAATGTACCATTTGTTCCAAGATTTTGGCTTGCAGAAGTAGTATGAAGGTACACATGCGCAATAAGCATAAGGCCAAAGTCCCAGAGCATAAATGTACGGTGTGTCACAAGAAATATGTCAACAACAAAGATTTAGAACGACATATGGACGCTATGCACAATTATCATAAAAACCGTAACACCGAAAAAAGTCCTGAAAAACATCACATGGACGATATGAACGACCTAAAAGGAAGAATAAAACGCCACGTGGAGGACATGAACGGCCACATGGGAGATATAGAAGACCAAAGAGATACATGTAGTGACGATGAACATGAGCGAGACTCACAAGACATCGATAGTGATGTCGCCACGAAACAGAACAATAATGTGGATTTACCAAACAAACATGGACTTAAAAATGGCAGTGTTTCCGCACCAAGAATAGAGGACGACTTGTTTGACGAAAACAACCCCGATATGTCAATAAGCACACTTATGGCTGAAAAAAACGTCATCAAAAATTTAAAAAGAAAATGTTTCGTCAAGTTGAACCGGATTGTTGTTCCATTTGATCAACTGTCGGGGATCAAGTCTGGTGACAGTAAATTGAAAGAAATTGCGAACGGTAATCCAAGAGATCAAATGCTAAATGGTCATGCACGCCATGACACTGATATCGATGTTATGAATTTTGCAATCAAAACAGAACCTAAGAATACAATCGATGTATTCGAAAATAAAGTTTCTAACCCGAAAGATTCAGGCGATTTTGTTAGAGACAATTCTGATGAACAACGAATGATTATCACTGACATATTCACAGACGCACAATGTAAAGGAACAGCCGAACCCCGGGACACAGTGAACACTACTGAGACGATGAAAGCGATAACAGCTGATAAACCCCAGGATGCAAGTGAAACTAGCAATGTAGAAGAAGATATAGCCATAGAACAACAAACATCGGAGGACAATCACAAGCCCACTGAGAATGGGCCTCCGCGTTGTGAATGCATTATTGGACAATTAAGCGATCCAGTGATTCACAGTGAACAAATGAAATCACCTGATAATAAAACTTTGATAATTCCACAGACATTTATTATAAAAGAAGAAGTATAAACTTTCTCAGCTTTTTAATCAAGGTATACCAAGTTGAACACATCGCAATGGTACATATATTCCGATGTCATGTATAGACTTAAAAACCGCTAAAACGACTTCATTACATGACGTTTTATAGACAGAATGGATTAAATATAGGCAATTGGTTAAACAAGAGAGTAAGTTAAATGTTTTTATATAAAAAATTGCAATTGTATGCGTCGATGTAAAATTGATATTCATAAAGGTGACGTTTTATAGGCAGAATAGATTCAATACAGGCAAAAGTTTAAACAAGAGAATAAGTTGAATGTTTTTATATAAAAAATTGCAATTATATGCGTCGATGTAAAATTGATATTCATAAGATGACGTTTTATAGGCAGAATATATTAAATATTGGCAAAAGTTTAAACAAGAGAATACGTAAAATGTTTTTAAATGAAAAAAATTTGCAATTGTATGCGTCGATGTTGAATTGATATTCACAAGATGACGTTTTATAGACATAGAAAAATAAATTAAGGCGATTAGTTAAACATCAGAGTTCGCAACTCACTTATAGAATTATTCCAGTATAAGTTACGTATATAAGCGTTTGCTGCAATTGCGTCATCATTAATTGCGCAGCTCTACATACGTCCATAAGTGTGATATTCTTATAAGTCGTGGTCTATACTGTACGTAAGAACATCACACTTATGGATGTATAGAACTGCGCAATAAATGATGGCGTAATCAAACGCTTCATAAGTTATACATTTTAGTTATAAGTTACTGGAATATAAAACATGAGTGAGTTGCGAAATCTCTCTAATATAACAAGTTAAATGTTTTTAAATGTCTAAGTTAAATGTTTTTAAATATTTAAGTTAAGTTAATGCTTAGATGTATTCATAGGATTAACAAGTTATTTGAAATTGTATGCGTTAATTTAAAATTGATATTCAGAAGCTGAAACGATGAGGTTTCATAGAAAGAATAGATAAATATACTCATTAGTTAAACAATAGAATACTAGTAAGTTAAATGTTTTTATAATATACGCAAGTTAACAAAAAATAAAGTTATTTGAAATTCTAAGTGCTAATTTCAAAATTGATAGTATCTCATCATGTCGTTTTGAATTCCACAAGATCTCTAAGCACAAGGAAAATGATCATGATAGAAAGTGAAGAGCAACCCAAAACTAATGCCTCTGTCACAGTTGATCTACGACAGCCATGCGACCGTAGCTTTACAAACTCAAGAAAAATATGCAGCATTAAATATAGTGATAAGCAGTACGATGTAGATCTTCTATATCGATTTTGTGAAGCTACGCCGACGTACGCTCGCCGTAGAGCAAATGAGACCGAGGCTTAATAAGAAATTGTCATCTATATGCGTGGATCCTTTATTTCATCGAATTTCACGAGTTGCTGTTCAATTTCTTAATTTTTATGTCATGACCTCATTGTTATGGTCTCCAACTTTTTGTAACGTTGTTCGGCGTTCGGCGTCTGCAACACGGCGTCTGTAGTAAATGACGGTGTCTTGTTTTATTTTGGGATGTAAATCCTACCTTAACTGTGATGTCATAGATGACGCCACACATTCCCAGGCAACATTGAAGGGCTCCCATCTCCTCGGGATGTTCTATCATATTATAGGATCGGAGTTTGCCCTCCGAGTCAACGATCCTCATCGCAACAGCGTATTCGCTGAGCACGGGGTTGTTGATACCACTACCCTGAATTGTACAAAAGTGTTCCGACGATAGTATGAAAACAATAAGTCTAGCTGTAAGCCCTTGTGTTGGTGAAGTAGATAAGGAGCGGTTTGTTCAAGAGGGAGTCTTGAAGCACGACGAGAAAACAATTGACTTTTTTGAATTGGAAATTGGATAGTGTACTTCTTTAATATTCATCTTGGATTTGAGTCAATTCGGTCAATAGAGCATATCAGCATTTTCATTTATTGATTGAAAAAAATTAGAAATTAGGCTACATATATATACCACAGATCCGGTAGATATGATTCCCGCGAGAGTTCCGCCATCGTGAGCGAGACCTGACAACCACGTGACGTCATGCTGCTCCATGAAGTCGTACAGTTCAAAAATCATTACACTAGCCAGTGCTGTTATAGTACCACTGCCAGTATTTTCATTGGGATAGCGCTGAAAATAAATTAAAGGAGTAGTTTATCAAATTTTTTTACTCACCATGTTTAATTAACTACTCACATTACTCAATAATGAACATTTTAAACATATACTGCTCATATTTCTCCACATGTTAAATATTGTTCAACATGAACATGTTAAACACATGCAACTCATATTACTCAACAATGAACATGTTTAACACATACAACTCATATTACTCAACAATGAACATGTTAAACACATACAACTCATATTATTCAACAATGAACATGTTAAACACATATACAACTCATATTACTCAACAATGAACATGTTAAACACATACAACGCATATTACCCAACAATGAACATGTTAAACACATACAACTCATATTACTCAACAATGAACATGTTAAACACATACAACGCATATTACCCAACAATGAACATGTTAAACACATACAACTCATACTCAACAATGAACATGTTAAACACATACAACTCATATTACTCAATAATGAACATGTTATACACATACAACTCATATTACTCAACAATGAACATGTTAAAGACATACAACTCATATTACTCAATAATGAACATGTTATACACATACAACTCATATTACTCAACAATGAACATGTTTAACACATACATTACTCAACATTTTCAACTAATCACATTGAGATACTCACCACTGGATTCATTTCTAAACGGGGGCCGTCGTGGCGAACGAGGTTCTTTAAATCCATCAGTATTTGACCTTTGTCCGCCCAAAGAGGGGTCCATGACCCTGCGATGCCAATGCACCTCACCTATGATAAACCATGAATAGTGGTAACAAACCTAGTTTACACGTGGCCAGCCTCGTTTTCAGAAAAGATTTTGAGCCGTGTCGTTAATTCAAACCATGGGGCGAGATGTCATGTAGGCTAATACATGAGAGATTCATAAAATCATGCCTTCTTTTTGTTTTGCTTTGGTCGTTCTTACAGTTTCAGCGCAGAAATAGGATTTCTAGCTTAATTTCAACAAGGCTTTAACATACAAAATGTCACTACCTGCCATTTACTAGAATGGTAGTTGATTTGTTTCAGACGCAGAGCACCACCCACAAAAATGTTGATGACAATAACAATATCAGTGGTTTCAGTAACTTTGTGTACAAGAGGCAGATGAAAAATACAAGAGGCGGCATTCAAAGTAACCAATTTTACGCTCCCGACAATGCAAATTCTGGTTATTTTAGAGTCCATGGACTGAAAGAAAGATATTCAAGGTTTGTCAAAGTCATTTTCACGTGTGATGTGGCAAGACATGGCCATGGACTCCACAAAATAACACCTGGAACTGTAGAATGACTAGGGCAACTTATATAGAATGTCATTTACCTTTTATAAGATAACTTACCCTTACACAGGTTGCATTTCACAAATCCAAATGCACCTGTTGAATTGAGCACTTTTGTTATAAATCAAAATCTAGAATTGTCATTATTAAAATGAGAGTGATGTATTAATAGATGATTCACTTGTGATTATGTGAATATCAGATTCATTTTAGTTTTTTACCACCTCCAGACATGCCAGAGGGTACAGGGTGTTCCAAAAGTAACAGGACTGGTGCTTGTATTTTGTTAAATATACACCAATTTTCTTCAAAATTGTACATAATTTTTTTGTCGAAACTGATTTAGAAATCAGCCGATGACTACTCATCGGCCGGCGCCCGGCGCATATGTGGCCTAGGCATTAGAGAGAGACCGAGGTGGCAGGTATCCCCCTCCCCTCTACACCAAACTTGTTCTCACGACGTTTTCGAAAATTGCGTGAAAGGCCTCCTCACACATTATTAAGGAAAACATATCTACACATTTTGCGCATTTAACCATTTGATAACATGTTGTGGATCTTATCTTAATTTGTTAATGTGAATTCGCACCTCCATTTGCATGGAAGACTTGTATGTGTTGCTACTTGCATGTAGCTACAAGTATCTAATTTCAATAGATGATAAACTTCTCAAATATAAGACATTGTTGCAAGGTGTGTTGCAATGAATGTGACATCCCACATTCTCAGGCCCGCTTTATGTATTCTCGAAGAAAGCCATCATGATAAACCATGACATCTCATTTCTTCTCAGCCCTGAGATGATTCAGGTGAAACAGAAAGATGCTATGAGTATCAGAATGGAAGAAAGCATATATTTGCATTGATGGTGTATTGATGGATTTTTTCTCCCTTTTGTAATGTTAATACTTGGCCGGTTGAGTATATAAAGGTATACATGTATACAAGTGGGGGTTCAAACCTCCCCCCATCCACACATACACTTTTTATCATGCTTAAGTAACTTCGCATTGTAATTACAAGGGTGTTATAAACGAGACACCAGGATGATAAGTTAGGGGTAAAATATAGGGCCCAAATCTTGAGAAAGAGTCGAAGGCATGCGAGGCAAATCCTGGAAACTCTGGTTCGGGAAAGCGGGGTTCACTGTTTGGTTCCGTTGACACCTGTGCGAAACTACATTCATAATTTATCCGACAGTCGCTTTGATAATGACTCGATAAAGAAGAATTATGAAAGCTCATCAAGAATGGACGATCTTGCACACGTACTCATATAAGAACCTACATCTTTTTAACACCAATATAAAGATTGAACAACGGATAAACTATGTTAAAAATAAAATGTTATATCTAATGTGCCAACTCAATGATTTAGCATCACTCAGGGGCAACATTTTTCAATGTCAATCTTTTCCAAATATGCTAAACTTAAAAAATAAACCAATTTTGACTGTCTAACCAGGTTAAAAGGATGAATATCTTATGTTTTTAATATTATTTTACCATTGGTTTCAATGAGAATTAAAATTTTGAAATGCATCTTTCCCTGAACCACTTTCATGCAAGGATGAGTTCATTGCTCGCTCATCTATCAACCAATTTTCTTGATTTTTTTCGGCAAAAAACAAGTGAGGATGATTGCTATGCATCGGTGTGAATTATCGCTTTAAAAGATAAGTGTGACATCTTAAAGTTAGTTTTAAATAATTTACGATATTTTGAACAAAAAGTCTTTCAAAACATTTTTGAAATTAATAAAAAGTTTCACATTTCACACTTTGATAACATTGGATAAGACAACAATATAAGCCAAAGTGGTTTGAGATTGTTACTCAAAAAGTAAAATGGTCCCAATTGTACAAAAAGCAGCAGTATTAGAAATCCAAGATGAAAATGAATCTGATACTCATGTGAGGTGGTGAATTCTAGATGCTAGTGCCTAGTTGCCTATGTGCTTATACAGAGACTGAATGAGTGGCGTTCGTGCTTTTGATATCAAGTGGCGTTCTTAGTGTGACCTAGGGGACATATATCTGAGACAATGCCGTTATTCAGCAATGTTATTCAGCAAAGTGGGACAACGTCGTTATTCACCAATGTGTATTATTCAGCGAAGTGGGACTCTCACGGTACATGCAGTGACCACATGCCATCAACATAGTGTGGTGATGTTATAGTGGCACTCAGTATTTTATATGACACTGGTATTTTGATAGAGTGAAATATGTACAATTAAGATATTAAACCTTGAATAGAGACTCTTGAGTATATCAAGATAATGATCATATATCTTATATTTGTCTTGATTAAATATATATCATATTACTAAACCCAAAGCTTTATGTAACTACATTAACCGACTTTATAGAACGTTACATTGGTGACTGGTTGGACAGATTTGTATCAATCATACATGTAACTGCATGTCCAGTGGAAAATAACTCTGATTATACCAAAGGTTGTAATTTGAATTATCATGCACATGATAGTGGTCAGATAGTGATCTAAAATGCATAGCCCAAACGGGTAAAAAATTGGACGGTGTTTACTACTATAATGAGATCAAGTGATCTTTACGATTATAGTGAGTTCCCTTGCAGTTCGAAACTGAGGTACAAATCATAGACAAGGAAGTGCAAAACAAGATCGCTGAATAAAATAAAGGATAGTCTATAGAAGACTTTTAATTTTCCCCCAAAACTTACACAATGTTTGACTTCTAACAAGCGGCGGATTATCGAAAACAAACGGCGATTTCAGACACTCGCCCCCTGCTATTGAAAGCCCTGAATATGTCATTGAAATAGTCTCCCTTGGTCAACAATAGATAGATGGACAATACCTTCAGTCCAAGGGTCCTTGCAGCTTTGACAATATTTTGCAACTGTTCCAAAGTTTCCGGTAGTGCAAGTATGGTATCATTAATTGTTGCTGTACCGTAAAAATCAGATCTACTCATCAGATGTGACAGAGGATAGGTGGAGCCAACTATTTCTTTCAAGCTCTCTAAACGTTCGCTCGTGGTTTCTGCTGGAATATAAGAATACAAACATATTTTTAGAACAAGTTAATTTTTCATCCTTTGTGTAAGTCACAAAATGGAGCATCTAGACTGGTAATCACAATCGCACTAGACGAAATGGTAGGAGCTAGGCGAAGTATTCAAATTGCAAGGAGCAAATTGACTCCTACATTTATTAGGGTTCCGAGCCGATATTCTGTCAAATCTTTTGGATTGCTGTTATTATAATGTAAGAAATTTTAATTTTTTCTAAAAATTATTTGAATGTTGCTGTCGATATCGGTCAAGGTCACTAAAATATCGGTTATTTTCATCAGTTCATCGGTGCGAACTCTGCCGTAGAAATCAGCAGTTAACAGATTGCTTGGAGATGAAAAAATATCGAGTTGGAACCCTGGGAGCCATTCCTCCTTTGTCAAACTTAGTGTCCTGCATTGAGGACAAATGACGACTGATAACGTCGTGTGACATATTCAAATAAGGGGTATGAACATAAGTGTTACGCGGTAAACACAATACAAAAATATGTCATATTCCGCAACGAATATGGCATATTCACTTGCGGTGTATGACAGATTCACCTGCGGTATATGGCATACACACTAACCAATGAGAAGGTGATACGGAAGTACGCAATTGACCTTTTGCGATCAGAATTCGGGAATTTTGTTTATGGATACTGTTGTCGTGTATTTCATCAATTGCATCGATAGAACGAACAAGTAAAATGTTATAAATTATTATAATGATTAGTGAACCAACAGTACTGTGTATCGAATATATTAACTTAGCAGAAGTATCAGTCACCAATCTCGCGTTATAAACTTAGACTCAATCAATCTAGGATTAATATATTAGTACTCGATCCAGCGTATCAAGCGTAGTTTTACATTTAGAGTCGATTCTCGCAACCAATCAAATCAAGGCTTTCTGTATCACGTTTTCACCTGCGGTATATGTCATATTCACCTGCGGTATATGGCATATTCCCCAAGTGAGTATGACATATTCCGCAGGTGAGTACCGGGTATTCACTGAAATCAATGTATCGCATATTCACTGCGGAATATCGCATATTCACCTGTGGAATATGCCATATACCGCAGGTGAGTATGGCATATTCACCCGTATCACGGATACCGCGCAACCATGAATGTATGCCATATACCGCGTAACAATAAGTATATGGCATATATTCATGGTTGCGCGGTATTTGTGATACGGGTGAATATGCCATACTCACCTGCGGTATATGGCATATTCCGCAAGTGAGTATGCGATATTCCGCAGTGAATATGTGATACATTGATTTCAGTGAATACCCCATACTCACCTGCGGAATATGCCATACTCACTTGCGGAATATGCCATACACCGCAGGTGAATATGACATATACCGCAGGTGAAAACGTGATACAGAAAGCTTTGATTTGATTGGTTGCGAGAGTCGACTCTAAATGTAAAATTACGCTGGATTACCAATATAGTTAGTGCGTCGAGTACTAATATATGAATCCTGGATTGATTGAGTAAGTCTATTACGTGAGATTGGTGACTGATACTTCTGCTAAGTTAATATATTCGATACACAGTACTGTTGATTCAGTAATCATTATCATAATTAATAAAATTTTACTTATTCGTTCAATCGATGCAATTGACAATTGCGTACTTCCGTATCACGTTCTCATTGGTTAGTGTGTATGCCATATACCGCAGGTGAATCTGGCATACACTGCAAGTGAATATGCCATATTCGTTGCGGAATATGACATATTTTTGTATCGTGTTTACCGCGTAACAATAAGGACCTGAATTGACAGAGAATATGATAACGATAAGTTCTACCATCTGACTGTATTAGTACAGCTACGTTCACACCAACGGCGCTTAGATGGCGCTTTAATGCGACGTGCAAAGCCGCTTCGCACGCCGCATTAAAGCGCCATCAAAGCGCCGTTGGTGTGAACGTAGTTTACCTGTTTTGGTTGAGCTTGAATAATCTGAGCTTGAATAATCTTTCCCCTGAGGTAAACGCTGTAGTATGTTGTAACCCATCGCTGTCATGACAATCAGGGCAATAACACCACAAAGCAAAAGGACCAATAGTATGATGCCAATTACTTTCCATCTGTAAGTTACCCATAATGTAATTTATACATTCTATGCAGACGGAGCCAGTGGGAAGTTTTTGGTGAAATGAGCGTTTGGTGCGGAGTCACACTGCGTCGCTACATGTATTAAATGAATTACACAATTGTGGCAATTTTATTATTTTACTTCACATATATAAGGGTTATGTACTGGGAGGTTTTGGATATGGGGTTTATCCAGAGGGAGATATGCATATCTACCTGAGGGACCGTAGGGACCGAAGGTAGATGTGCATATCTCACGAGGGATGAACCCTATATCCAAACCGACCGTACATAACTGCTTTATCTTATACCAAGTAGTTTTCTAATTTTCTTTCAATTTATTTTTATTTTTTCAATTTCTTCACATTTTTCTAATTTTTTTTCAATTTTTTCAAATTTTATTTTTTTCAATTTTTTATTTTTCAATTTTTTTCACAATTTTTTTTTCAATTTTTTCAACTTTTTTTTTCGAAGCGTGAAGATATGCTCTGGAGCGGGAGATATGGCGGGAGATATGGAGGTTCAGGATATGGAAACCTCAAAATCATGATACGGGATATATCTTACCAACTTATCTCCCTAAAACTCAACTTGGCATAGGATAAATCATTCTGATACTCATAGCATCTTTCTGTTTCACCTGAAAAATGCTCTGATATTATGAGGCATATTCTGTGATCTGAGCACATTAGATGGGAATAGTTACAACTGTCAATAAATGTGATAGTTATCATGTAATCATTTACCTAATGTCAATACATTACATAATAGGCATTGTATTTAACAGCAGATATTAGCACAGGCATGTGTACACAAGTTTAATGACCCCAATTAAATGAAATATGAGCTGGGATGAAAGATCTCAAAAATCCTCAATTTTGGGCTCTCCTGGATCGCCAAATCAAGCTCATTATATCATGGCATCTCAGGGCTGAGAAGAAATGAGATGCTATGGTTTATCATGATGAGGATAAATGGGTATATTTGAAGTCCCAAAACGCTTTAGCTTCAGAAATATCACCCCACGCAGACTGATCGACTAAAATTACATTCGTATGATGTGAGACTCGACATTCACCAGGATTTTTATTTTCGAATGTTGACTTAGTTACTGAACTTGACTGCACCGATTTATTCTACAAATGACAATGATTTATTTCTACCTTACATTTTAATGAATAAATTATTTGATCTCTGCTCTCAATGTATACAATCGGCTACCCTTTGCATTCGTTCGACTTCGCTTCTTAAACAAGAGCGCTAGCTCGTTTATAGTTAGATTCTGCGCCTAAATAAAGGTCACTGGACGTTTTTGCTATCTGCTCTTTAATAGAAATATCCTTTTTTCTAAAGAGCGTATAGTATTGATTATTTCTTCTTTAAAAAGAAAGGCGCAATTGGTTTAAAATTGCATTAAAAGACAGCAATGTATTCTACAGTATTCTTTCATGTATTAATATTCCATATATTTATATAATCATTCAAGAAGTGCTGGATATAGATATGTAGATAACCAACGCGTCTAAATTGATAGATCATGTCAAAACGACAGGAAAAGCAAAAGTTAAAATTCATTAGGGTGAAGTCGAGGGGTGGGAGGGGGTAAGGTAAGTGAAGATTCAATATATAAGAGAATATTGAAAGCGATTCGGCTACAGTATCTAGCCAGATGAGATGGGAGCCTTTAGATTGGACCCCGTCGATGATAATGATGATGATGATGATGATAATGATATGATGATGACGATCTATGGGAAAGATGTTCATTTCTGCTCGATCTACACCTCTTCTCTTTTTAAGTATTTCTGAAAGTTTTCACATGACATTCTATAAAAAACAGTAAAATAACGTGTACATGGCGTTGATCTCAATTCATATAGATTTTTTATGAACTTACTTGCTATTTGTACGAGGCTTGGACATATTGGCGTAACTCCCATTATAACTAACACTGGCAGGATCCTTTCCTACTTCAACGTTAAACACTTCCATATCCTGTACTTCTTTCGAACAATATTTTAATTCTCACTGAATATTTTGTTGATTCTAATCGTCACTGAATATTTTGTTGATTTTATAATGTGCCCGCACATATAATGTATTTTAAGGCCGTTCACCTTTTAAACATTCAAAACAGGATTTATGTGATGGGAATTAGTCCAACTCTTAAGAAAGTACGATTCAGGTCATGCTCGTGCCTTATATGTGAAGTTTTTCATTATAATTCTCATATAAAAAACACTCGGTAAAATGTAAAATGATGTATAGATGTTCATGACAGAGAAATCTTTTTTAGACTATACTACATGTATATAACTGCTTTAATCATTAGAATCACTGGAAACACTACATTGACAAAAGTAACACAAGTTAATTATAGCCGGACTAATTAGTCTACTGCGTCTACCTTAGTTTTTCTATTCCATTCTTCCAATCATATTCATCAATATGTGCATCCATCTATCATTTAATGTTTTAAATCGTGAACTCCAGCATATCAGTTATTGTATTTCAATATTTTAAACAGAGAACTATGTTTTATATCAAGCAATTGCAACATTTAAATGTGCATATTTACTTTATCAAACTAATCTAATTAGTTTAATGAGTCTTAGTTAAAAGTGGATATTGGGAGGCCATGGTCTTTGCACTGGACGAAACTACGACAAAGTCGACGACATCTTTATATAAGTGATGAAATCAACCCAGTGTTTATGTTTTTGTAGTCTGTTTTTACTGTTGCTGTATGTACATGCCACTGCGAACACTTACAATGTGCAGAGCCATTGAGAACACTACGAGTTATTCAAATAATCCAGTCAAAAACTATTTGTTTACTCTCTGGTTTAAAAAATTAAAAGTAAATAAAAAGCAAAAAGAAATTGTTCAAAGATATCGATCTCCTTCATGACACACAAAGAACGTATGCTTTTTAGTGCAAAATAGTTTGACTTAATTTCGATAACGATGTTCGTATATTTCATTTTGGATTAGTTATTCCTGAAGTACAAGGTAAGTAAGATATAAACTAATTACACTATATCTGCAGTAACATACAAGTATGTATACATGTGAATGTAACTGCTTTGTGATATCAATATTCAACTTAAAAACCAACAAAAGCTACTTTTTAATTTATGAAAATAATAAAGATTCCAAGTCATTCGTCACAGATTTGTGTAGAATGTATTTCAGCTTTGAAAATGTTTCACTATTTTATACTTAGTATGTTGTATCGGGAAATTATAAATTTATATCTTCACGAGAACGCAGCTATTTTCCTTTCACTCCATTTTTTTTTTACAAAAGTGCCTATTAAAGTAGAATGGAACCAAGGATATATCTAGCTGTAAAATGACTAAATTTACTGTTAATTGCAATCGAATCCAATACAAGGTAAGCATTCGTATTAAAATCCTCGCCCTTCGGTCTTGGTTTAAGGAATAGAAATTACAAACAAAGCATCGACCTCAGTCCTGGAAGACTTAACGTTTTATATTTATGATATATTACAGTATACATATTGTTACGCGGTATATGGCATACATTCATGGTTGCGCGGTATTCGTGATACGGGTGAATATGCCATACTCACCTGCGGTATATGGCATATTCCGCAGGTGAGTATGCGATATTCCGCAGTGAATATGCGATTCATTGATTTCAGTGAATACCCGATACTCACCTGCAGAATATGTCATACTCACTTGCGGAATATGCCATATACCGCAGGTGAATATGACATATACCGCAGGTGAAAACGTGATACAGAAAGCCTTGATTTGATTGGTTGCGAAAATCGACTCTAAATGTAAAACTACGCTGGATTACCAATATAGTCAGTGCGTCGAGTACTAATATATGAATCCTGGTTTGATTGAGAAAGTTTATTACGCGAGATTGGTGACTGATACTTCTGCTAAGTTAATATATTCGATACACAGTACTGTTGATTCAATAATCATTATAATAATTTATAACGTTTTACTTGTTCGTTCAATCGATGTAATTGACAATTGCGTACTTCCGTATCGCGTTCTCATTGGTTAGTATGTATGCCATATACCGCAGGTGAATCTGTCATACATCGCAAGTGAATATGCCATATTCGTTGCGGAATATGACATATTTTTGTATCGTGTTTACCGCGTAACACATATCATATATATAAAACCTCATTTTAACATGGCATTTTACCAGGTACGATGTACGACTGAAAGCAGCTGGCTGTGATTCATTTTGTTAGAACGCATTCTCTACTATAATAGTATTGGAGACAGAGGTCCCAAAAAGTGGATCAAATCATATATCAAATTGAAGCTAAGTATATCAGATCTTTCATTGCCATAGGAACCAAAAACTACAACAGTAAGGATAAAGCAAGAAAATGGATATATACAACAGGATAATAATCGATATATCTGCCATGTGTTTTATCACGTCATGCTAATACTAATAGTGGTATCATAGGATCACTTTCAGATCGCAAATGCAACTTTCGGCTGTCGGCTACCGGATTACCCTAATATTTTATGACCAATTCATTTAAATATGAATGTAATACTGTAGTAGCCATTTCTATATTGAACAACAATCTACCCGCTATGGCTTACTGGCTGAGCGAAGATTACCGCTATTGCTATGGTCACGGGTTCAGTTCCCGGTTCAGTCAAATATGTTTGTATGTAATTCGATCAGGGTGAGTCATAGGTATTAAAAATCAAATTTGATCCCGTTTTTACCCTTTTACTAGAATATGGATAATAGCATATAGTTTGGTTAAAGTTAAGTTTGGATATCTTTTTTGTTCGACATTCAACGCTGTGTTGAATTCTACTGGTGCCAAAAAAAGATTTTTACCGTCCGGCTGTCAATGCGCCATTTTGGTACCGGGACCGGTTCGTCGAATCGTAGCTCCCTGGTTGAAGTCATATATTTTTTGAGGTAAATACTAAACATGGCCCGGAAATACATCATGATAAACCATGACATCTCATTTCTTCTCAGCCCTGAGATGCCATGATATAATGAGTTTCGATCATAATACATACCCTTTTCTAATATGTTTAACGTCTTGGTAGATACAAAATAACACGTATAAAATTCGAATAAAACGAACTTTTATATTTCGTGGCCTCATTAAACACTTATTTCGTTTGGAATGGCCTTAAACTGTAGACCGCGAAACATACATTTAAATAAGGGATTGGCGCACCCGGGTCTGACTGTAAACCTCCTGTTCACTGTCGTATGAATTATGAAATGTAGTTTCGCATAGTTGTCAACGGAAACAAACAGTGAACCCTGCTTTCCCGAACCCGGTGTAAAAGGGTAAGAGGTATGGTTGGCCTATTAGTATAAAGAATGCATGCGTTGTTTACGGGTGTGTAGGCGTTAATTACGCTCGTGTAGATGTAAAATTACGCCCGTGCTGACGAAAAATTACGCCTGTGTAGGCGTAAATTACGCCCGTGAAGAAGTAAATTCTACGGGCGTTCAGAATACATTTACAGGCGTGAACTTACGGCGTTAAAATTATTAATTACGGGCGTTAAGACTGTTATTTTACACGCGCTGAGAAACATCTTCACGCCCGTCGAGTTCATTTTAGCGCCGTGAATTATGAACCAATCAGCATCTTGCTTACATTATGATACGATGCATTATAGCTAAAAGTACAACTCCAAGATCCTTCTGCAAGTTAATAACATACTCATGATTGTGCCAGGAACAACTGTTGCAATTGGAGGCATATGAAATATTATTTCTTTTCTGGGTATCTCGGTGCACTATTTGTGCAAATGTGAAAGATTTACATCGTATATTAAATGAGTTATGTATTCCTGGAAATAACATGTGACATATAAAGACGGCTGCATAAAGATTCCAAAAAGTACACATCTCCCTTACACCAAATTTGAACATATGTTGGCTAGGTATACTAGGTATATAGGCTCATTTGACATTTTCAGTACATTTTCAAAAAATGCCAGATCTGCAGGATATAGCTTTAGTCTAGAGTCAATTTGCAGTTGATCAGATACTATAATTCTAGTATCTGGACACATCCTTTAGAGGGATACATTAGCGATCTGACTGTATAATGAGACTGTAAGCTGCAATGCGTGTGAGCTTAATAAGTCCCTACCTAGCCTACCTCTGAAGCCGACGCCTAGATTGGAGAATTATCCAAAAATCATCGTATTTAGAAACCAAACATGTATACCTTCTCAAAATACTCTGCAATTTTGTCGTTTCTACAATGGGTGTTGATAACTGCCAACACAGTTCATGTCTCTTCAATTTGCCTTTTAATATAATTTGCTCTAAAAAATGAATACTTCTTTGGTTAAATCTAGTTCAATCTTGAACGAATATTTAAGGACCTCAATGCAACACACTAAAATGTAAGCAGGCTTCTGATTGTTGTTTACTAGCGCAAGTATCTCGGAGTTGCTCTTTTAGCAAGGATGCATTAAATCATCATGTAAGTAAGGTTCTGATTGGTTCATAATTTACGGCGCTAAAAATAAACTCCACGGGCGTGAAGATGTTTCTCAGCGCGTGTAAAATAACAGTCTTAACGCCCGTAATTAATAATTTTAACGCCGTAAGTTCACGCCTGTAAATGTATTCTGAACGCCCGTAGAATTTACTTCTTCACGGGCATAATTTACGCCTACACAGGCGTAATTTTTCGTCAGCACGGGCGTAATTTTACATCTACACGAGCGTAATTAACGCCTACACACCCGTAAACAACGCATGTATTCTTTATACTAATAGGCCAACCATAAAGAGGTCCTATCAAATTATCGTCCTACTTTCCATTGATTTATATGGTGACCTAAATACAACTCTTTCCCTTATTATCGTATCCACAATCAGGGCCAGAAAGGGCCTTTAAGAAAGGGGACCATAATCCCCAGGGGACCATAATTTCTTTTACACCGGGTTTCCAGGATTCGCCTCGCATGCCTTCGACTCTTTCTCCATAGAACTAGACTGTGCCCGTTCTAATATTCAAAATTAAGTCAATGTGATATTTGAAGTCTACACTTAAAATTGCATCGAAATCGTGTAGCGATTGAGGTCTTTGGCAATGGCCAGAACAAAATTTGAGGTCATATATTTGACATAAATCATAAAATCAAGATCTTTATTACGATTCTAATATGATAAACAGATAAGAAAAACTAATATTTGCATTTTGGCAGATCTAACTAGCACCTTGATCTGAACACTGGTATAGCCTGTTTCTTCATGCCTTGTCTAAAACAAATAATATACGCATAATATCTCAAGAGTCTTATCAGTCTGAAAGATATATTTATTCTTAATTCTTTTGATTTGAATCAGAAGAATTTCATAGTCACGGTATCCACGCCTGCGGCTTGAAACTTCATTCCTATGCCATGCAGTATCCCTTGCCCATGTTTGTTGGAGTAAACCGCATACTCATATGACGTAAATCCATCCTCATCAACATACCACGGATATGTTGCAGTGCCTACTATGATGTCAGCCTCTGCATTATCACATTTACTTTTTGGAAGGTGTATGTTACACGAGGACACAATCGCATCTTTTAGAAAAGTACCAATCCACTGACCTTAAATGAATCAAGCAATATCCCGATATGTTCAATTAAAATACACCGTGGCTCATACATCGGAAATATTGCATTGTCATGTGCTAGAACCCTTTAATAATATTGAAATTTATATATAGTTAATCAACTGACAGACAATTAAATTCGTGATGGAGATCACTTCAAGTAAAGGCCAAAAAGGCCAAAAAGTAGTTTTAAAAATGAATGTAGTCCCAACACAATTGTGATCATGACGAGTCAGTAAGCTAGTATGTAGGACAGTTGTCCTCTTTTTGCAATGGTAACATGCCATTTCTTCTGAAAATGCGTTTATTTGGGTTATCTGAAGGGAAATTTGAGTCAAGTGGCTTATTAATTTTGGCTTCCTTTTTGTGAATTTCAATTTCTGTCTGCAGAGAGGGAGGTATAAGTGTCACAATTGACCAATTATTTCAAAAAATAGATGTTTGACCCCTATTGAGTTTAGTGTCAAAATGTAGCTTAGCCTAGGGATTGTTTTTTAACCTCAGGTAGGCCAGTGGGGTCACATAAATCCATTAAGTTCTCGAGATAAGAAATCAGGTGTTTGCCCATTTGCCCATTGACCAGTATGGTGACGTGAATTAGGGCTGTTTTGCCTAAGTCATCTATAGGTGTGAGGTTCCATATCCATCCGCCAAAAGGTATAGTCCATTTAAAAATCTGTGGTTTTGTTCTAAATAACGCCATAGTTGGCTTCTAGGGTACCTAGTATGCCACTATTTGGTATCAAAATAAAGAGGAGGAGTTCAACTTTCATTTGAATTGCAAAAATAGCGATTTAAGTCAAAATAGTTCCGACGTGAGCATGTTTACTACGCGTTTGCCCGTCATCTCAGAATTGAGGAAATGGTAGCAAACGCGCGTTACAATAAATGGACGCTGATATCTCAAAAAGTAACCTGACTCTCTATAATTTGATGTAGATCAATCGAACCCCTATTATATTATATATGAACAGGTCCATTTTGATATACAACACTATGGGGGTAAGCGTTTTATAGTTGATCACGAACGCCATATGTGCAAAGTTTTTTTTTATAAATTTTCGAATTTGGTGTTGGATTACGGTACCCACACCTAAATAGAGTATTCAAATAAATCCCGACACCTATCGGAATGCACAATCGTCTTTTCGCGCATCTACGTCATACTTTATCAGCAATTAATTTACAATTTCAATGAATTTATACTGCTAAATGGAAAATAAATTTGTTAAGTTCAGCTGATCCAGAAAAAGGGAAAAAGTTATTCTCGTTTCATGTGGGTAACATTTTTGGGACACATATGGTAGAAGTGTTTATACTAATACCGACCTTTTGATGCCATAGACCTTGTTGCTCTTAACACGAACCCAATCTCCATGCTACGTGTGTCGTTGTAGTACGTCACTTTACGGACACCATGCATTATTTCAGTCACTAATCTTAGCTTATCATCAAAAACAAACCCAGAGAATACGACATCTCCCAAGTCTACGAGCTGGCCCTGATACAGTTGCTCATCCGTTAGGGCGCTTATATCGATGCCAAATCGCTGTTTCACAAACTCCGCAAATTCTCTTCCTAAACAAATATCACAATGTACATACCCTCTTACTACACATAATCTGAGGCTTATAATACATGTACTGTTAAAATTTCAAGACATTTTATTCATTTGTTCTCAAAATATAACATATAAAACATAGAGTATACCTAAAACACCAATGTGACTTTTTCTACTTTGTGACGTCAAAATTACAGAATATCAGCGCATGTTCTCCATAGAGCTAGGTAAGAATAATAGGTAAGAGTAATGTAAATGAAGTGTCTGTGAACTTAATTCTGCTTAATCCAATATGTGCTGAGTGTATTGTTATCAAAGTACTGTGTTATAAATCTGTTTATATGATACATATATTTCCCCCTTTGTTTTTAATGATGAGCTGACACACAGTATTTAATGTACGGTTTATAATATACAATTATTGACCTCTCCAGAGGTTTACTGTCAAAATTATATCCCGAGACTGTAAACCGAGACAGTAAACCGAATGGAGAGGTCTATAATTGTTTTGTTAGTCCGAAGAATATCTTAGATTTTTCTGACCCTTGAAGTTGACTTGAAGTTGGATCCAGACCCTCGAGACGTTCATGATGTATTTCAGTATATCGGCAGTAAGTTCACTCAATGGAGTCAAATTACTCTCCTGGGCGAAGTCCACTAAAAGCTTTGTACAAAGTTTTAGATTTTTCTTCGTATTTTGACTGTCTTTACTCTCTAAGAGACTAATAATATCCTCATCTTCAACATTTTTGAAACGGCTAGTGCTAGCGGCGGCCATTTTATCGTCTGATAATGACGTCATTTTAGTGGAATGCTGGGAATATTATTCACCGGCAATGCATTGCGCGGTGTACAGTTAAAATTATTCACCGCTCGTTGACCAATCAAAATCGAGTATTTCAACTGAGGTACTAACAATTGAGGTTATCTTGCGATGACTCATTTTCGCCCATTCATCCCGAACAACCTTAACAAGGCGTTCACGTGTAGTTGGCTGTTTATCCTCAACAGCATCTGCTAATGATTTGAATACTCCCAAGTCATTGGCATTCAAATCCGGGCTGTTGGCTGGTTGGTAACGTGCAGATATACATTTTTGTTTGGAAAAGAGTTCTTTTGTTTTTTCAGTAACATGGGGCGGTAAACGATCCTATTGCACAATTACCTGTGCTGTGTCGGGCAGCTTGCGTTTAATAGCAGGAAACACTTTATCTTTCAGTAGCTCACAATAATAATTTGTGTCTACGCTGCGATCTTTTAGATAAACCTCCCCTTGCTTGTGATGCTTACTATTATAAGCGTATTGCTTCCTTTCCACACATTCCCACAATCCAATTTTCCCATCAGGGGCTGATTTTGCAACCGCTGCAAGAAACATAACTCGGGGAGGAAATCTAGCACTAAAACTATGCGCAGACGTTGCTGGGCTCTTCTTTATGTAATACCCCTTTTTAGTATTTCGGAAGCATTCAAACCACTTTTCATCAAGTATCACATGATTTCGCCATTGAGAATTTTTATATTTTCTGGCCCATTTCAAACGTTCCCGCATATTTTCCTTAGATAGAACAGGTCTTACTTTTGTCATTTTTGCCTTGAAGTTGATTTCTAGCCCTTGCTGCAGTGCAATGGGAGATCCCAAGTAATTTTCCAAGCTGCCTTGAACTGATGTTACGCTTGGTTCTCACTTCATGAAGAATGCGTTCCTTTTCTTTGTCACCTATTTTTGATGGTCTCCCAGATCTAGAATTATGTTTTAGTCCATCTCCAATGACAGCCTTTTTATACCAGTTTGCCAATGTTCTACTAGTTACGCCATATTCTGCAGCCAGTTCGTATAACTTTTGCTTGGATTTTCCCAACTTTATATCCTTATACTGTTTAGTTTAGTTTAAAATAGTTTATTTTTGTGTCACTGATATTACAATATACGTATAAAATACATAATAAAAACAACATTTTGTAACATCACCAGCCGGTGCCGACTTATGAGACACAGTATACATTAGATCTGAGTGTCACCCATTACTACCCCCAATGAGCAGCTTGGGTCAACATTCATAAAGACAGAGACAAAAATGCCCCTGTTAAAAATTTATACATTAATTACCAATGATATAAATTCAGTCTGATTAATCATTTTGGCATAAATAAGCAGTTCATGGAATGATATTGTCAATCATTATATTAAATACATATATTGCACCTAATGTGATATGAATATTGCATAATAAATACATATATTGCACTAAATGAGAGTAGCATGTTGCATGTTGTCAAAAATTACAATAAATACAAATATCGCACTAAATGTGACATGTATCATGCATATGGTCGAAGACTGATATTACAATAAATTCATATATTGCACTTAATGTAAGTAGCATGTTGCACTATGGTCAAATATTACAATAAATATGAATATTGCACTAAATGTGAAATACACAATGCATCGGTTGAAGACAAATATTACAATAAATACATGTATTGCACTAAATGTGAGATGCATATTGCATGATAAATACATATATTGCACTAAATGTAAGTAGTATATTGCATATGGTCAAATATTACAATTAATATGAATATTGCACTAAATGTGAAATACATAATGCATATGGTTGAAGACAAATATTACAATAAATACATATATTGCACTAAATGTGAGATGCATATTGAATAATAAATACATATATTGCACTAAATGGGAGTTGCATGAGCAGTGAATAAATAAAACAAGAAACCCATAGATAATATTCACCTCTGCAGTAGTGAATTGAGACCATCTTCCCCAAGGTCGATAGCTCAAAGCACTAAAAAGAGGCATCATAAAACCAAGGAGTTTCTGACTAGATACATTTTAAATCAATATTTTATAAAGGAAACTTAGGTGACATGCATACTCATTTAGTGATTATAGCCTATCAATATTAAGGGATCTCTCATTGCACATATTATAAACTAAAGCTCCTAATGGTCTTTGGAGTGAAGTACAATTCATAATGGAGACAAAAAGAAGTGTAGAATTGGCTGATGTTACATCTAAATAGGGCAATTTCTGTTTAACATTTTCATAAAAATCACATCTTAGATCATCATAATGGCTACATTCTAATAAGAAATGCTTTTCATCTTCAATACAATTCATGTCACAAATTAAGCATTTCCTTTCGTGTAATGGTATACCTGTGTAGCGCCCTGTTTCAATTGCTAAGGGTAAAGTACCAGTTCTGAATCTAGCGAGTGACCTACGGTGATGCTTTGGTAGGGCCAAATACCCTTCCTTGCAAACACCATATTTGTACAGTCTATATTGCCTCAATTTATTGCCATTAATTTCATTATTTCTATCATCCCATATGTTATGGATAAATTTATCAGAATTTCGAAGAGAGTTAGTAAACTGTTTTAAAATGTCCTTGGTATGACCAGTACCAGAATAGCTTCAAGTCTTTTTTTCTCCATTATCACTCAAAAACTGAGGAATATTCCCTTTACACTTTTTACATCTAACTAAACACTTAGACTACATCCATACTACTACACTTAAAAGGGAACATGACCATGAACACTGAACAGTATACCATTACTTGCTACATTTGTTGCAATATTTTTGTTCAAGTCCAAGGCCATTGCCTGGTTACTACAGCAGCTCTCAGAGACATCTATATCTTATGCCAAATACTCCTGATAATGCATTGCAACTAACATGGCCATGAACATTAGTAAATATAAATAACATTCTCCGATTTCTCATAATAAACACTGTAGATATAGTCACTTTATATAATGAAAGTTTACTAATTTTGGTCAATTTGCTGATATTTTGTAACTTTGACGTCACAAAGTTGAAAAAGTCACATTGGTGTTTTTGGTATACCCTATGTTTTATATGTGATATTTTGAGATTGATATATATTGAAATTTTAACAGTACATGTATTATAAGCATCAGATTATGTGTAGAAAGTTTTGTCAAGAATAGTAGCCATTTACTGTCAGAAGTTACCTGAGGTTTTCTCAATAGGAAAAGACTTTTGATACAGAAGGTATATATTTGTGAATCGAATTGGGTGTGTCTGACTCTTTCTGTCCATTTATTCTAGCAAAGGAGCAGGGAAAGTATCGCAACAGACTTTTGATAATTTTGACAGTTGATAATTTTTTTGTGAGTAGTTTCTGGCTGTAAAAAGTAAATGCTTGGGAAAGGCGAATCTATAATCTTCAAGAAAAGTTCAAAGAATAGTTTCCAGATCAATTGGATTATCTTATAATCCATGTTTAATCCACCCATCAACAAGCTTTTTCAAAATACATTCGTCATTTTCACTATCGTCCCTCATTTTTTTTACAATTTTTCATGCAAAGTTACATTGTACTTGAACACATGTTTCATCAAGTAAAATATGTAAGGAACTCCATGAAGTTTGTTTTTGAGTTTTTTTTTGAAAAAATGAACCTCTTAAAATGCATGTTTACAAAAATAATTTAGGAGGGATGTAAAAGATGGCAATGTTTTTCAATAATAACATGCATAGGTGGGTGAATTACTCATGTGTGTTGTGTTTTAATCCTGCATTCACTGACTGAGTTAGCCTATTGAAAAATCGTAGAGATTAATAATACAAACAGTAATACTATGAATACTTCTACTTCAAGCTCAAATAGCGCTTTCAGGGTCCTGTGTTGAAATACTAGATCACCTTATGTGCATGAATTTTCAAGAGAAACCATCAGTGCAAGCAATTAAATGAAAGCATCATCCGAACATCACTTGAAAAGTACTAAAGTGGTGAAAAATTGCAAGATGTTGACAGAAAATGTGCCTAGGGGAGAGGGTCGTCTCTCAACCCCCCTCCACCCCCTCACGGGACTAATACATGTGATATGGCAAAGTCCAATTCATAGATTAAGTTTCCCTTGCAGTCTTGTTGGCATTTTTATTAGAGTTCATGTTTTGTTTATGTTAATGGGTGAGTGGAAGACCCTTGGGTGGGAATCAAATATAAAATGTTTTCTAAAATATATATTTGAAATACTTTGTGTATGTACAGTCACAAACTCTAGGCAACATTAACTAGTAATGGGGCAACACCCCAACTCAACTGAGTGAATGTGTAAACCATTTAAGGAACAAAAAACATTACATAAAACAAACTCAGCATGCAAACATGTAAAACTGGCATGGCAAAACAATAGATAGTGAAACTGAATAATAAAAGCACATACGACTAGAAAACAAGGGATTAATGAACACTGGTGTAAAGTAATGAAGGGACCTGTTAAAATGACATGAATGGGGATTGGTCAATTTGAATAGTAGAAATATAAAAAATGTGAAAATTAGCCAGGTAGAGGGGGAGAGATAAAGGGAGCTGCTGCTCCCCCAAGAGATTCTTTCAAAATGATGCAGTTTCTCACCAATCTGAGCACTTCGCATGATTTTTTAGCCAAAACTGTCAAAAAAATCATCCCTAGGCAAAAGCTTTGCCCTTGGTAAAACTGCTCCTACCCCTTGGTAAAAGCTGGCTACAGACTGTGTAAAACACTTGTGTGAGAACTTGAACATGAACGAGTACTGTTATGACCCCCAGTAATGTTGTCCATCTCTCAACTGGTTTAACTGGGGACCATTACATCAATTGGCATTATATCAATCAGGCAACAAAAAGAGGCCAGTGATGTGAAAATAGTCAATAGCACGGTGTTATAGCATGACGGTTACGCCACCTCTGAAAACGAGGTTGGACAGCTACGTTCACTAATTTATCCAATAAAATGGCCGCGATGGAAGAGAAAACTAAGGTTGGCGCATTATTTTCTATTTCTGTGTATCAATGAAAGGATGAACGATTTATGTAAAAATCGCATTCGGTGATACTTTCAGTAATGTATATTTTGAACGTAGACTTTGCAAATTGATGCCCGGGGATAACATGAAATAAGAGAAAAACTGTCGAGTTTGAAATTCAAAACTACACAAAAATTTAGTAATTTGTTTATTTTTGTTTTTGTTGTTAGGGCATGGTCTACATTGCCTAAAAACCTTGTGGTATATAGATGTAACCTACATACGATCATACAAAGCCAATTGAGCATTGGAAACCACCTGTGTTCTACTCAAGCCATAATAATGTATTTTGAATTTGCAGTAGTTATACACAGTTTACTTATACTTACAGTTAATATTTTGAGTGGCTCATGTACTGAGACAACACGAGAATGGACCAAATATTATAAACTTTGATATCTCAGTCGGTAGGTTTACAGATTATATTCTGTTTCTTGTAGACCATCTGGCAGATTTGACCCAGTCTTTATAACCATCCATATATACGTCACCGAATGGAACTAGTTTAAAAGGAAATCTTATCTGTGAATATTTCCTACAGGCGAGAAAGAGGACATGCTGCCTTTCCCATCCGCCATTTTTTGTTATCGTTACCGCAAAATTTTGCAAATCGCCTTGACGTAACCGTCATGCTATAACACCGTGAATAGGGGACCATAAGTTTACACATTCCATGTGTACGTTCATCAAAATAGTGCGATCTTAACCTCCCTAATAACTGAAATTGTTGACTCAACCAATAGAATCATTCTATGTTTGTTTATATTTGTTCACATCAATATGGAAGAAAATCGGACATTTTGCTAAAAAGATGTTATTGTAAATCTTAGAAATAATGATAAAGGTAGTATACACCACACACTCAATGGTATTGATTGTGGTTTTCAGAGACTCTCAATAGGGACTTTAAGCTTGCAATGTTTTTCACAACCTAAATGTGAATGGAAAATATTTAGCGATGCATTTGTATGGGCGATTGGTCATAGGTTGGCGTTTCGATTTTATATGCAAGCTTAATCTCCCTAATGTTAACATTAAGGTAAGAGTGTATGTTACTCATAACATTTTCTTAGGATAACATTTCTTGAATTGATGAATATGCAAAAATTATTCTTAGCATATCATCCTTCATTTCATTATTTGAATAATCAATCTGGAGATAAACTCAAATAAGGAAGTGTGTTATAAAACATCATCATATATGTTCAATGTTTTTTCAGAAGCTGGATCAAAATATTTGTCTTACTAAAATTATTGGCAAAGGTATGATGTACTAAATTCTTGTACTGTATTTATGATTTTAATAGCACTGTACCTCGTGAATCATTACTGATAAACAAGATACAGAAAACCTGTTCAAAGTAAATGCTATAATAAGGCATCATAGAAATTATCATAAAGAGAGGTATTTAGAATTTCTTAGCAACTTATAAATAATAAAAAAAGAGACTTCTACAAACCATCAGTGTAAAACTTACAAGTGATAGCACAGTGTGAAAAACAAGCACCAGAGACTAAACAAAGGTGGCATCAAAGCACCTAGTACAGATGGATATAAACAAACAAACAAAGCAACTTACACACACACACACACAGGTTTAACTGCACTCAAACATTAAACAGTCAACTTGACAGGTATTCAGAATTTTTGGGGAATGCTGCGGTTATGCTCCATTGATTAAACAGGGGATCAAACAGCAGGGGATCAAACAAGTCCAACCATTCATTTATGAAAACATTTAGAACTAACTTTATGGCACACTAATGACATCTTATATGAGTGTGCTGTACTAAAAGCATAGCTTTTAGATCCCCATTGGATCCCCTTATATTGGATTATCATAATCCTAATCCACGAGGAGTTCCTTATATATTTTAAGTGATGAAACATGTGTTCAAGTACAATGTAACTTTGCATGAAAATTGTAAAAAAAAATGAGGGACGATGGTGAAAATGACGATTGTATTTTGAAAAAAGCTTGTTGATGGGTGGATTAAACATAGATTATAAGATAATCCAATTGATCTTGAAACTATTCTTTGAATTTTTCTTAAAGATTATACATTGGCCTTTCATATGCATTCATTTTTGTACAGCCAGAAACTACTAGAAAAAAATTATTTACTGTCAAAAATCTGTTGCGATACTTTCCCTCGCTCTTTCAGAAATAGTGAAAGTAAAATCTGTTCACCACCATAGATTACGCAAGGCACATTACTAAGATCACCAGTCTATCATAAATGGTGAGTTTACATGACACAATGCATCGTATCAGCTATACCTTTTGAAGTTATGCGATATCATTTAAATCATGTCAATTCAAATAGCATGTGCACAAAACGTGATCCTGCAACTGACACTTACCTTTTCTGACGATATCTGATTTTGTATTGACACCAAACAGTTTCCAAGTATCATGGAATTCTTTAATCGAATGAGATTTGAACTTCTCATCTACCGCGAAAGATAAGAGTCTTTCTGTCGAATTTGTTTCCAATAAATCAGAAGACGTTTGTCTCACTGTGCATGCCTCCTCTGACGCAAGGACGTGCACATTCTCGATGTAGAAAATACAGAGAAGGAAAACGCTACGATGTAACCAAGTCATGACTTTTGTAAAATCGAATTCAAATGTTTTTCAAATCATCATTGCTTTCTTAACAAAATTTATAATTCTTTACATTTACATATCCACATTATTCTATTGCAGGTATGACAGCATTCTGTTGTATCAATAGATATAATTCATTTTAAACATTTACATATTCGTATTTCTCTAATGCAGGCCATTTACATATTCGCATTTCTCTAATGCAGGCATGGTATCATGCTGTAGTGTCAGATACAGTATGTATTTGTTACCATTTGCATGTTCCTCGAAACAATAGTTGTAAGAAGGACGCATACAATCATTGGCAAATCTACCAAACGAATGCCATCGAAGTTTGTTTTCGACTATATCGTCACACAGTGTAAACAAATGCCTGCATTCATTAGGTAGATTTACTAACCATAGAACACGGCCTGATAATAACCGTATGTGTTCCGATCAAGACCTGTTTTCGGTATTTTCCGTGAATTTCAGATGAACTTGCTACCGGGATTTGCTCTTACTCTGCATTCACGCAAAGGTCTGGACACAACACCTTCGTGGAATGAATCAGTCCACTATGCATCGAGTCTCGGACTTGACAATCATTTCGTATTTTTTTGAGTAAAAGAATCATTCAGAGTAGAATTTGAGTGAAAAATAAAAACGTTTTTAAACTGCCGCCATTCATCAGGGGAAGGACTACTAAACGAGCACCAATAGTTGGCAGCCATTATTCAAACTCGATCTTCCGTTGCCTGGAGCGCGTTGGATAATTTAGTAAAAATATTTCAATAAAGTTCTCTTTGGACCAAGTATTTCGTTGGAAGATTGACATTTTGAATATGATGGTAATATCAAAGCTTCCTCAGCAGTTCTAGTCTTCAAAATATGAATAATATTGTTACCAAATAGATCTACGCCAGGCTATGGATGATCGAGTTCGAATATCGGCTTCCAATCCTCCTTAAGGTTTATTCATATTCATTCATATCGTAATCCTCTACTGTTTTTAACGCTGCCATTTTGATTAACTTACAGGTCTGTGGATAATCCATTTTAAGCACATTTTGGCTATCTATATCGTTGAGAACTGAGGATGTCTGTTGTGACGGTGCAACCATCTAAAGGACGAGGTGGTTCGGCTTCCGAGAGAATTCCCCTGGAAGAACGCAACGGGTCAAACAGCTCACAGCCGTCCATTGTAGGTAGGTTGACACCATTTCCTGGTATCTTTTGCCTAGGATGAAGAATGTCTACTTTCTTCGTCTCAGATTTGGCTTACTAGGCATTACGACTATGTATCAGTCAAGTCGAGTAACTAAGTCAACATTCGTAAATACAAATCTCAAAAGTTGTACTCCTTTGATTTCCTAAAATAATTTGTGAGGTGGTTATCAAAATGATAATACACATTTTAACGTATTAATTTTGAGTACATCTCGAATCCATTCTCAACAAAGCGTTCTCGAAATAAGTATTCGAAATGTTTGAGTTCGGAATGATAAAAGTACGTTAAGATATACCGCTCCTTAACAAATTCCTTTGGGAACAAGATATAGAATCAAAAGCATATTCTTCTTATTTACTCCCTGACACATGCCAACGAATGTTACATTATAAGTAAATATCTCCGTTTTAAATAATTTTGTAAACGTTGTTCTCTACAGGTGCCTCTCAATGAGGCGCGATGTTTTTAAATTTAGAGATGTAAGCTATAAACTCAAACTAAAATTCAAACCAAAATTCAAAAGTTGTTAATTCATTTTCATTAGAAGAAGGGCCGTATTGAGCGGCTGTTTTAAATGATCTGGTATACCGGCCTTGAATATACCCTCATCCTAAACAATGTAAATAGTACATCTGAAGAACATGCTTCTGTAAATATGTTGAATCTCCTTTTTATACTTTTAACCTTTGTATATTATTTAATTTAATTTGATGTACATTTTTATGCTCTCCCCAACACGGAGGAAAATAAAGAAACATAAACATAAACATAAACATGCGCGCGCGCGCAGCTCATCCACTGAACGAAACGCCACTTCCCGCTGAAATCACCGGGTATTGATTTTTCCCTTGGTCCGTCCTAAAACTCCTATGATGCCTACTACTCAATTCGATTTTGTATAAAAGTCCGTAATTGGTTATTAATTATCCAGATTATTTTCATTGCCATCATGACCACTTGAGTGTAAATCGTTGTCACTAGGAATCTCAAGTTGGATGTATTCCTCTTGATTTTGATCGGGAGGAGTACTGGGTACTTCTAGTTGAATGGGGCTATCAACTTGATTTTCGTAATCTTGACCAAAATTTCTATCGACTTAACTCAGAACAATTTGATTTCTGTCATTCTGACTTTGACGATCAGTATTTTGACTCGGAATATTTTCATTTCTGTCGTTCCGTCCCTGACTTTCAGTATCTTGAGTTGAAACATTTTCAGCTCTGTCATTATGATCTGACGAGGGGGTAATACGACCGTGACCTCTTTGGTTTACTTTGGCTTGTTGTTGTTGTTGTTGTTGTTGTTGTTGTTGTTTACTTTGCAGTCGAGCTTGTACATACTCGCGTATAGAACGAACTATGTAAAATTTATTTTGAATGGCCCTATATAAGAAGTATAAGAATGATACCACGGATAGCCATTTTCAGACGTTTCGCAGATGTAGTGTCTAAGAAGTAATGATCAATTTTCAGGCTTCATTCAAATTAGATGGATACATCTATAAAATAAAATTAATTAAAGTGAGCGAGGCAATCATGGCAATAGAAGCCAAAATGTGTACTAAATACAAAGCTGATATATACGTAATACACACACACCTGCGACATCGTGTATATTTCCCGGTATATTTACTTACGTAGATAAGCAAGTGTGTGTCCAATTTTCACCTTGTCAGCCATGATACACTATTTGCACATTATTCACACCTCCCAGTACACGTTTAAAAATGAGTTGGGTTACTCATGATCATTTCTGGTACACGCAAAGATACACACACACGCACACGTATAAATAATACGTTATTTTTAGACAATATTCATTACAGTATAAGTCAAAATGCAGTCGTTGATAAAGAGCTGTTTTGGTCATAAGGTCTTTGACATGGCTCGTTATTGATTACGAGGAATGGCCGACACAACGTATTACCAAGCAAGGATTGAGTTCACTTTCGAGCTCATATATGGAGGAAGGCTTTACAGAGGAAAATTCATCACGACATTTCCTGAAAGCACCAGTACCACGGGGGTATAGTGGAATAAGATAGTGAAATAAGAACGAAACAGTACGATTCTCTATCGCCTTGATGTAATGCCTTGGTCACATTTGCTCAAATTTTCACCAAGGGGCCCGGCCGATTGAGTACTTTGTTCAGAAATGTATTCAATTTTGAACAAAATACTCAATTGGCTTCTGGAGTCACCAAGAGGCTTCTGAAGGACAACAGAAGCCGGCTTCTACAATCAACAAGAAGCCGGCTTTTAGAAACCGGCTTCTTGAGGACAACAGAAGTCGGCTTCTGGAGTCACCAAGAAGCCGGCTTTTAAAACTGGCTTCTTACTTACTGACGTACTGCAGAAGATGGCTTTTGAATATAGTTTATATTGTCATATTTTTGCAAAACTTTACGGGTAAATTGAATTCTAAGCATGGATACCGATGAATTTGATCACGTTCATCAATTCCAAAAATATTATGCATTGTATTTCTGTTTAATAAAAACGCACCGCTCATTTTTCAAAACTGGCTCCAATTTGGAGCCAGTTTTCAAATCAGCTCGCACCATTAAACACAAGCTATTAACGGACAATCTAGCCACTTGGAATCACGAGATACTGTCTCCCGATCATTTTGATGTGGATTATACATCTTATTCTCGTATAATCTGCATGAAAATAAGGAAAAACTGAAAAATATGTAAAATTATAACATAATTCAAGATTTTTTGCAAAAAGTCATTTCAAGTCAAAACTATAAGAGAAAATTAAAGTCTAAGTAAAAATATCGATGAATTAGATCATGTTCACTAAATCAGAACAGATTATGCATTGCATTTCCGTTTTATAAAAACGCACAGCTCATTTTTCAAAACTGGCTCCAACTTGGAGCCAGTTTACAAATCAGCTCGCTCCATCTTACACAAGCTATGTAGGGACAATCTAGCAACTGGGAACCACGGGATACTGTCTCACGATCATTTCTATGTGCATTATGCATCTTATTCTCGTATAATTTGCATGAAAATGAGAAAAAACTGAAAAATACGTAAAATTGTAACTTATTTCAAGATTTTTTGCAAAAAGTCATTTCAAGCCAAAACTATGAGAGAAAATTTATTTCTAAGTAAAAATATCGATGAATTAGATCACGTTCACTAAATCAGAACAGATTATGCATTGCATTTCCGTTAAATAAAAACGCACCGCTCATTTTTCAAAACTGGCTCCAACTTGGAGCCAGTTTACAAATCAGCTCGCTCCATCTTACACAAGCTATGTAGGGGCAATCTAGCAACTGGGAATCACGGGATACTGTCTCACGATTATTTTTATGTGAATTATGCATCTTATTCTCGTATAATTGGCCTGAAAATGAGAAAAAACTGAAAAATACGTTAAATCGTAACTTATTTCAAGATTTTTTGCAAAAAGTCATTTCAAGCCAAAACTATGAGAGAAAATTCATTTCTAAGTAAAAATATCGATGAATTAGATCACGTTCACTAAATCAGAATATATTATGCATTGCATTTCCGTTTAATAAAAACGCACCGCTCATTTTTCAAAACTGGCTCCAACTTGGAGCCAGTTTACAAATCAGCTCGCTCCATCTTACACAAGCTATGTAGGGACAATCTAGCAACTGGGAATCACGGAATACTGTCTCACGATCATTTCTATGTGCATTATGCATCTTATTCTCGTATAATTTGCATGAAAATGAGAAAAAACTGAAAAATACGTAAAATTGTAACTTATTTCAAGATTTTTTGCAAAAAGTCATTTCAAGCCAAAACTATGAGAGAAAATTCATTTCTAAGTAAAAATATCGATGAATTAGACCACGTTCACTAAATCAGAACAGATTATGCATTGCATTTCCGTTTAATAAAAACGCACCGCTCATTTTTCAAAACTGGCTCCAACTTGGAGCCAGTTTACAAATCAGCTCGCTCCATCTTACACAAGCTATGTAGGGACAATCTAGCAACTGGGAATCACGGAATACTGTCTCACGATCATTTCTATGTGCATTATGCATCTTATTCTCGTATAATTTGCATGAAAATGAGAAAAAACTGAAAAATACGTAAAATTGTAACTTATTTCAAGATTTTTTGCAAAAAGTCATTTCAAGCCAAAACTATGAGAGAAAATTCATTTCTAAGTAAAAATATCGATGAATTAGACCACGTTCACTAAATCAGAACAGATTATGCATTGCATTTCCGTTTAATAAAAACGCACCGCTCATTTTTCAAAACTGGCTCCAAGTCTATGATCGTGAGACAGTATCCCGTGATTCCCAGTTGCTAGATTGTCCCTACATAGCTTGTGTAAGATGGAGCGAGCTGATTTGTAAACTGGCTCCAAGTTGGAGCCAGTTTTGTAAAATGAGCGGTGCGTTTTTATTAAACGGAAATGCAATGCATAATCTGTTCTAATTTGGTGAACATGATCTAATTCATCGATATTTGTACTTAGAATTGATTTTTCTCTCATAGTAATTGGCTTGAAATGACTTTTTGCAAAGAATCTTTAAATATATTACAATTTTATGTATTTTTCCAGTTTTTTCTCATTTTCATGCAAATTATACGAGAATAACATGCATAATGCACATAAAAATAATCGTGAGATAGTATTTCGTGATTCCCAGTTACCAGATTGTACCTACATAGCATTTGTCATATGGGGCGAGCTGATTTGCAAACTGGCTCCAAGTTGGAGCCAGTTTTGAAAAGTGAGCGGTGCGTTTTTATTAAACGGAAATGCAATGCATAATCTATTCTGATTTAATGAATGTGATCTTATTCATCGATATCTGTGCTTAGAATTCAATTTACTGTCATAGTTTTGGCTTGAAATGACTTTTTCCAAAAAATCTTGAAATATGTAATAATTTTACGTATTTTTCAGTTTTTTCTCATTTTCATGCAAATTATACGAGAATAAGATGCATAATGCACATAACAATTAT